GCGGATACTGATGTTGCTAAGGGTAACGCATTTGCTGACGCCTCTGCTAAACATGCTGCTGCCATAGAACCTTCCCCAGATGCATTTCTAGGTTCCCTTTCTGTTTCTATACCGCCGCCGTCCCCCACTGACCTCACCCTGCTCCAAGACTCTGCCCCAGAAACCGAGAAAGAATCCTGGGTTGACCAAGGCTGCTCTCTACATCCCAATTCTCTTTGGCGCTTGCCTACTGGTGCCTTTGTAGCCCCCTTTTCACTCTACCCGTCTCTGGCCACCCTGCTACACAGTGTTTCGCATGTCGGAAAGGAGAGGATGGTCTCTGCTGTAACTAAGACAGGATGGTGGGCCCCCCATTTTAGCTCTTTTGCAGCCTGCCACTGTGCAGCCTGTACCATTTGCCAAAGCCATAATATTGGTAAACCTGTAAAAGTGGCCCAGGGGTTCCGGGGCCTGCCTCAAGCACCGTTCTTGCATTGGCAACTTGATTTTGTACATATGCCGGCCTCGTCCGTTTAACAAAATATGGAACAGCAATGACACTTGGGAAGCGGTGGGAATAAATGCATCTAAATGGATAAGTGTAGTGGAGGGAAAAGGTCATTGGTGTTGGGTGTGTAATGGGACAGGGCTGGATCTGGGGAAAAGCCGTTGCCTTCAGCATATTATGGCCAATGGTGTATGGCATTATTCAAACAAAACTAAAAAGTGGCGGGCCGGGTATGGAGATATGAATTTTTTCTCAACCTGGGATCAAACAGATGGGATCAATCTCATGTTCCCCCTATAGTAACCTTAGTGAAAACAATACAATCTTTCAATGTCATGCAAATAACACCACTCCTCGTAAGGAGAATTACCCTGTACCCTTTGGGGGATACTACTCCTCCTTTGCAAACACCTATATGACAAATGGGTGCAACCGACCCTTCCCAGCCTTAATAGGCCATCACTGGGTATGTGGGACCAGAGCTTATACCGCACTACCAGCCAATTGGTCAGGAATCTGTTATCCCGCCCGACTCTTCCCACAATTCCGAGTGCTAGGAACCTTCCCTCGAGAAAGCCTCCGCAATTTCAGGCGAAAAAGAAGGGACTTAATGGATGCCCAATGGTATGTAAATAACATAAGCCCCTTAACCTGGGAAGAGGCCATTGGCATTCCTTAATACCATTAGGGGGAGTAATACACCATGCAAAAAGGCTCCTAAGGTTACAAGCAGTAGTTGAAATAATGGCAAATGAAACTGGAGAAAGTTTAAGAGCCCTGGCCAAAGAAACAGGGGCAATATGACAGATGGCCCTCCAAAACCGTCAGGCATTGGACATAGTGCTGGCGGCAAAAGGAGGGACTTGTGCTCTCATTGGAAAAGACTGCTGTGTGTATATACCAGACAACAGCCTTTTCCAATGAGAGCACAAGTCCCTCCTTTTGCCGCCAGCACTATGTCCAATGCCTGACGGTTTTGGAGGGCCATCTGTCGGATTGCCCCTGTTTCTTTGGCCAGGGCTCATCAGATTCAAGACTCACAAAATTTGTCAACAATAAACAAAAATTCATGGAAGTCTGTGACATGTCTGTGACTTTCACTAAAAATAAAGGGGGGGACACTGACACCTCCAATCCCTGCTGCCCACGGCTGGCAGTTCCAGGCCCACTGCCCATGGCTGACAGCTGTGAGGTCCCTGCCACCAGCAGCAGCTGACAGCTGTAGAGCCCCTGCTGCCCTTGGTGGTTCAGAGCTCCAGGGCCCCCCACTGCATGCAGCAGCTGACAGCTCTGGCCCTGCCATCGCAGGAAAATATCTCAAAGATCTCTGAAAGTCATTGAATCAATGATCTCCATCACAAAATGTTATGCTTAAAAAGTAACGTAAGTTATATAGCAGTCAGTGCTAGGCTGCACTAAAAGGCACGAGTCCCTGTAATGAGTGAAGACGCATCAAGCAGTACATTTCCTAAAATTGTTTAGGGAGTCTAATGGAGCACCCCAAATGCTCTCCACTGCCTCTCATAATGATTACAGTATTGCCATCTCTCCGAAATTACTTCCCCAGTTTTCAGAGTAGCAGCTGTGTTAGTCTGTATTCGCAAAAAGGAGTACTAGTGGCACCTTAGAGACTAACCAATTTATTTGAGCATAAGCTTCCATGAGCTACAGCTGGTGCCACTAGTACTCCTTTTCTTTTTCCCCAGTTTTAGCACTTCTGAAGACCCTGCCCTCTCAATCTTCTGTCATTAATTCAGCAAGGAAGAGGGAGAGTTCCTGAACTGATGCTGCTGGGAAGCCGAGCAGGCTATGTCTCCCTTTACATCATCTCCTCTATTCTTGGCTCTGAAAAACGTTAATGGCTATGTTAAGTAAACACATAGACCAAACCCTGGAATCACTGAAGTGTTTCAGAAAGTATGGACTAAATTTTTAACTTGGGCCAAAGCATGCATCAATAATTTGGCCTTCCAAAGAATTCAATGTAAACACAGCTCATATCAATGTTGGAAGGTTCTTAAGGTGTATCCAGGAGCTCTGATAGCTCCCTTACACAGTCTCTCGTTGGGGGTGTGATGCATGGTCAGAAAGTGTTAAGTGTCCTGCAGGATAAATGACTCAGATTCAACCGTTCAAGACATATGGGGAGATAATGTTTGTGTTTTTGTGTATTTACATATATATGGGTAGTGGTCAACAATATAATCAACAGTCCCTATCTATGCTGTATTCTGTTAATTCAGAGATCAAAAGAACATCCTAGCATTCAAATTAACTGTAACCATGGGATATTGCTGTATTCATCTCCCTTTGAAATGTATAGCTGATAATCTGCGAATGGTAAAGAACAGGCAATTGCCTAATGTTAATTTGTGTAGCTAAGTACCGGTGATGGACCTACTTCAAAGTCACCCTGATTACCTATTTTTTTCATGCTTTGTGTGTATATAATAAGATCTTCTAAACTTTCCACAGTATGCATCTGATGAAGTAAGCTGTAGCTCATGAAAGCTTATGCTCAAATAAATTGGTTCGTCTCTAAGGTGCCACAAGTACTCCTTTTCTTTTTGCGAATACAGACTAACACGGCTGTTACAATAGGTAATCAGGTTTCAGAGTAAGCCAAGGGACTCTGACCTGTCAAACAAGGCTTGAAATTGTATAAAAGTTCCTTGGGGCCTGATCCTGTCATCTCAGAGCTGCTTGGGGTTTCATGCAGTGGAAGCCTAAGCCATCAGGACTGAGATCCCAGTTCTGACTGGACCACTCTGAAGATAAACATTGGATTATAATTTATGGACTAAATTCTAAAAGAACTCTTTGCAGCTACAAAGTCTACCATCTCTGCTATGAATCTGAATCTCAAGACTGACTCATGTCTATATGTACATTGATCTTTTAACCATACTCTCTCTTTTTTCTTTTTTAATAAATTTGAGTTTAGTTCATAAGAATTGGCTGTATGCGTGTATTTGGGTAAGATCTGGAATATTCATTAACCTGGGAGGTAATGTGTCTGATCCTTTGGGATTGGTAGAAACTTTTTGTTTATATGGTGAATAAGATTTCCATTAATCCTCATAATATCTGGCTTGGGTAACTAGGTGGCGGCCTGAGGCTGGGTTACTTGAAAGGAACTGTGTTTTGGACTTCTGAGTCATCAGTGAGGTATAACAGAAGCTGTTTAGTGCTGGCTTGGTAAATCTAAGTATTAGAATATCTACCAGCTTTGGGGATTGTCTGCCACATTCTTTGCAATTCATCCGAATTGAGTGATCTCAGCTGGCTCCCCTGGGATCCCGGTCACAATATCATACTTTATCCTTTGCATTTATGTCAGGTCTTTCATTGGAGGATGTTTCAGTGCTTTCCAAATATCAGTTAATTAGGCATCAGTTCCACAATGACAGCTGGAAAGGGTGTTTCATAGAGTTTACGGCCACAAGAGACCTAGTCAGACCTGATGCACATCACAGACCATCAAATTCACCCAAATACACTTGTATCTTTTATATCCATTTTTTCCTTATCAAGAATTTCATTTAATCCTCTCAGTTAAAACTCAGTTCTGAAACTCATCTTAATTTACATCTTAGATAAACCAGTTCTGAAACTAGTTTTAATTTACATCTTAGCACTTAGTGGTTTACATTTAGAAAGTACTATAAAATATTAGTTTATCTTTCATAATAGCCTTATGAAGTAGATAATTAATGGGCGATGCCTGACTCGCGCATTTGTGGAGGCTGGGTACGAGCACTGGAAGCTCCCTAGAAGTGGGGGGCCAGGTCCCCTGCTCCACCCTGAGGCCTGCCCCACTTGGCCTCCTCCTTCTAAGACCCCTCCCATGCTCCACCCCCTCCCGGAGGCCATGCCCATCTTCCACCCCAGTCCGCCCCAGGCCCGCCACTTGCACCTCTTTGCCCCCTCCTCTGAGGGCCCCCTGCCTGCCACTCGCACCCTTCGCCCTGTCCCCCAGAAGGCCCTCCCGCCTGCTGCTCAAGCCTCTTTGCCTCCCCCACCTCTTTGCCCTCTCCCCAAGAACCCCCACCCATTGCTCGCACCTTTTTGCACCTCCTCCGAGGACCCCCCGTCCACCAGGTGCGGAGAGGTGTGAGTGGCGGGGGGGCCCTCAGGGAAAGAGCGGGGACAGGAAGAAGGGGAGTGAGGGCGGGGCCTTGTGGGGAAGAGGTGGAGCGAAGAGGAGCAGTGAGGGCGGGGCCATGGGGGAAGAGGACAGGGGGGAGTGTGGGAGGGGATACAGCTCAGGCGCCCTTTCAACAGTGGGCCAGCACGCCTCCAAAGGGAGGTGCGCTGCATCCTGTTTGGGGAGGCTTAGCCTCCCCTGGCCACCTATACCTTCCGGCCATGATTCTTATCCCCAATTTACAGATAGAGAAACTGAGACTTCAATGACTTCAGCAGGCAATGCTGTGAGGCAGTGGCACAGCTGGGTTCAAAACTCTGACATACTTGACACAGTGAAATCCACTATGTTACCTCAGGGACTTACCAATATATCTTCATTCTCCTGTGGGAATTTCAGTTTTAGGTTGCCAGCAGCCACTAGTACAGCTTTAACAGCACGCATACCGTAGTCATAATGGAACTGAGAGGAAAGTTGCTCTGAACAAAGTCTGTAGGTCATTACTATCTTCACTGATAATGGCTTGGCATTCAGAAATCCGTATGAGTAGAGAGAGATTTCTGCTATCAGAGCATAGTTAGGAACCATCATAGCTACTGTTCGGAAAAGAACCTGAAATGCATATCGCAGAAAATATGCTTAAAACGTTTAGCAGAATAACAAAAGAATTCCTGTAACTCTGATTTGCACTCAATATGTATAGATACTGCAACATAAAAATTCTTGTGGTAACAGTATTACCAATCTTTGAAGACAACATCTATGACCAGGGCTGGATTAAGATTTTGTGGGCCTGGCATCAAACATATTTGTGGGCCTCTATAGGGGCAATGGAGCATGGCGCAGGGAGGTCAGTCCCCACAGTGAGGGCCCAGCCAGGAGCAATGGGGCATGGCATGGCATGGCAGGAGTGGCCCCGCTCCGCCCAGTCCAGTGCAAGGACACTCTTTACAAACCGGCAGTTGCCAGACGCACTGTGGCCTGTCCAGCCCTGTGCTGCCAGCGTGCCCCTTCTCCTCGGGGAGGAGCAGGGGCACTCTGGGGAGGGTGCAGTATGGGGCAGGAAGATGTGGGTGGCAGGGCCTTGGGGGAAAGGGTGGAGTGGGGGCGGGGCTTGGGACAGAGCTGGGGTCAAGCACCCATGGGGAAATCAGAAATTCAGCACCTTGGCAACACCCCCCCCCCGACTCCCTATGGCCAGAGCCCCCACAAAACCTGCTCCACAAATGCAGAACCTTGCAGGCCAAGAAGAGCAAGTAGTGGGCAGGGGGGAAACAGCAAGCAGAACAGGTCGGGGCCCCTTCTGAGCATGGGCCTGGCTCCATGACGCCATTTTAAACCCAGCACTGTCCATGACTCATTAAGAGCCAAACACAAGCGAGTTGCCTATATGGCCCTCATTACACATAACATTATTCACCAGATTACCCTGCTTTAACTTCCTCCTCCTCAACACCCTTGCTTTCCAGAGAACAAAGACTGCTCATTGTGTGTCACCGATGGGCCAAACACACCTGAACGGCAGAAAAAGATGTGGGAAAAGGAGATGGATCACATGGTAGATGGGAGAGTATACTGCACCCCCTGAAGGGGTGTAGTCACTGCTGACTAGAGCATTCCTGAATGAATTCTGCCCTCCTGAGGTAGAATTCCTCCCTGAGCTCCCTTTGAGGCAATGTGGCTCTGGCCTTTCTCACTTTGGTGCTGTGACTTAAAGGGAAAATAGAACCGCAAAGCTGCTATCGAGACATCTTCACTTTACTTTGCTGAAGCCATGTCTCACCACTGAAATAGAAACACTGGCATAAACAAATATCATAGCAAATATTTGTAATTGGTAGTTTGTATAGAGTCATCATCACATGATCTAGTCAAATTGCTCTAGCACTGCTTCCGAATAAAACTCCATTCTGAATTATTTTTAAGAACATTTTCTTAAAGTATTTGGATTCAATTTAAACACTACTTTAAAAGCAGGATTTGGATTCAATAAAAACACTACTTTAAAATCCTGCAGTCCCCCTTTTCACAGCTAAACAATCCTCACTGAAGGGTTTGGCCCATCACAAATAAAAGCAATAATAATAATAATTAATTAGTGTAACTTCCATTCATAACAGCAGAAAGACTGATTAAAAACCTTCAGGGAGAACAAACTGATTTGAATTAAAAAAAATGCAACCTGACAAATACGTTGTGTAAGAGATACAACATTTAAAAATATAAATTGTTTATATTGTAAATGCCACATTCTGGTGTAAATCCAGCAGGTAATTTGGCACTAGGTTTCTTAAATGCACTATTAAGTGAATATACTTATTTTATTATTTTACCTTAAGGTTGTCTGGCAGTTCAGAACGTCCTGCATAACCTGGATTCATGGTAATAGCTACAAAACAGTTGGGATTGAGCTTCAGTTCAGTCCCTTCAAAAATAAACGTTTCCATCTTCAGCTGTATGGCTCGCTGAATGCAAAGGATCTGCTGAGCCACCACAGACAGTACTTCCAGCTCAATTCGATTAAATTCATCAAAACAGGCCCAAGCACCTGAAGAAGCCAAACCCTTAAAAAACTGTAAAATGAGAAAGAAAGACAAAAACTGTAGTGTACCCCAACAGAGTATCAGGAGATTTAAAAGCAACAATTGGTAGTACAATGGCTTGAAATGTAATGTTGTGCAGTGAACTTATTTGCATACTTTGAATAATTAAGCCTCCTTAGAGGAAAGGTCAGCAGGTATATTAGGAAATCAAATCAATGGAAATCTTTCCTTGGTTTTACTGGAAGCTGAGTCAGGTTCATAGGCCCTGATCCTGCAAACTCCTTGTCACATTCTTAAACTAATGCACTGCAAGTGGTCCCATTGAAGTCATCAGACCTTAGATTATAAACTCTTAGGGGCAGGGAATCCTAGGTGGGATTTTCAAAAGTGACCATGTGAAAAGGGCACATAGCTCCCACTGAAAGTCAATATCTTTCCTCCTGAAAAACACATACTGATCTTAAAATGTAATTCAATTTACCTTCCCCATTGCCAGATAATCAAGGCCATCAGAACAGTTGAAGACAACACACTGTACAGCAAGAGCCTTAGCCAAGTCTTTAGTAGTCTCTGTTTTACCTGTCCCTGCTGGGCCCTCGGGAGCACCACCAAGGTTTAGATAAAAGGCTCCAATCTACAGAACAGAAATAGCTTATGAAAATTAATACTTTAATCAAAGACTTTTTCATAGTGGAAAATAATTTTAAATTTAATTGTAAATTGAAAACACTAGACAGTTGAAAACAAATTATTTTATAAAACCAATATTTATCAGATTAATACTAAATGAAAAAGTCTAAACTAAAAATTATTTACGTCTTCAAAACACAGGAAACTCAAAGTTCGGTTTGGAGTTATTTTTTATTGTAGGTGCCCCAGAAAAGGACACAATCTTATCCATTCCTGAGCAGTCCTTATCATAACTAGACATTGTATGTTATATTGGACCTGATCATACAGCTCTTCCTCAGGCAAAAAACATTTTTAAAGTCAATGTACCTGATCTTGCTTATTTCTGTTCTCTATCTGACTCTCTCCTTTTCCTTCTCTGAGAAGCATCATCTCCTTTCCCACTCATTCTTTGTGGTCTTTCTCATACTCCCTCTTTGCTCGACCCATGTTCTGTTGTCCATCATACCCTGCCCGCCCCATATTCTATTCTCTCCCACACCATCTTTTCTTCTTTTCCTGTTCCATCCTTCCCATCTCTCCCACCCTCCAAACCTTTCTTTTCCCCCTTCCCTTTGTTCCCCCATTACCTTTATTCCTTCTGTTAGTAACACAGACTCTCTTTTTCTCCTCCACTCTCCCCATCTCTCTTCTGCACCCCTAATCCCAGTCTTCCCATCTCCTGGTTTTATTCATCTTTCAGTCCCTATGCACAAGGATGCCATCCCATGGAACACCACTCTTCTAGTCAGTTTAACCACTTTCAGGTTAGTTGTAGTTGGTTGAAGATGGGCCAAGTGTACAATGCAGCAATGTCTCTTGATGTGTTGCCCATCAACTGAAAATGGGAAGTAAAAAGTGGCCAGCTTCTGCCTAGCTTCAGAAGCAATATCATGGCATCAATACCAATTTAAACTGCTAGTTACACAATGTCACATAAGTGGCTTAGCGATCTCATCCAAGCTGGGAGCAACCTGTCAAGAGGTACATTTTTGTCAGATTTGTAAACCCAACCCACTTGATGAAGTTGGTAAGCAGTATTCAGTTCAGCACAAAACATGACAATTGTTGCAGGTCTAATGGAGCCAGCCAGGTTCAGCTTGAAAATTTAAAATAGAAATTAAAATCCCCGAAAATTGGATGTTTTAACAGAAATGCTGAGAGCCCCACAGCTATTGTAGCGCTCCCAAGTGACACTATAATAAGTATAAAATGTTGAAAATGCCATATTACAGCTAAATGAATTATTTAAGCAGGTTAATGACAAGTTTTACATAAAAGCATACCAAGGTGCGGTAACATCTATCCGTAAGGGGAGTAATGACAAGTCGAGGGGAGTTGCCAAGGTATTCATAGGCATATTTTACATTGCAGTTAATGATGCGGACACGAGCATTCTCGTGTTCCCAATAATATCGCAGTTGAGCGAGCCACTGAAAGTCTGTCTCATTTTTCACACCTGGTAAGAAAGTAAGTAGCAGGAGATATGAAAAAAGTTCTAGAAAATTGGATTTTCTGTTAGGTATAAAATAAATAATTTGCCAATATGAAATAGGACTGAATTTATGACTGTTTTCATACATAAAAAGCTTGAAAAATTCTTACGGTTCTTAAGGCCAACAAGGAAAGATAATGCAAGGAAAGATAATTTCTCTGGGTTATGGGTAACTCTATGTTAAATACACATGAAGAATAAAATTTTAAAAAGTTATATACCGCTTTCAATCATCTCCATGACAACATCTCTAGCGTGCACATCAATAGTAACCAAAGCACCCAGTGTTGTTCGTGTCTGCTTAGATAATTTTCCTCTCACCAACTCTACAATATCATTAAGCTGAAGCTGAAGAGTACTGTAGTAATCCTGTAAACCCTACAAGAAAAAAAATGTCCAATTTGATTTAACAACCTTTGGACCTTAGTGTGCAATTAATTAGGGTTATGAAATTTTTTTCTTAGTGTGGATAGACATCTTAATAGAGATTGTTTAATGGACCATCTCCCTTCTCAGTCATTTCCCAAAGACCACCTCGTCTCTCATTTGCTATTATCTACCTACCCTGTAAAACTACAGCATATTGTTTTTTACATATTTTGAATCCAAGACCCATTTAGAGTTAATGAGAGTACTGACTTCAATGGGCTTGGGTCAGACCCTTACTGCATTTCAGCAGCTGTAAACAAACAGGAAGAGCCTATGATCAGCCTACTCTCTGTGAACCATCTGCCTGTGCTCTGTGATCCATCAGTGGTTTTCAGACCACAGTTTGCAAACCTCTGGATTATATACATGAAGATTTCATTGAAGCCAATGGTAGGTTTGCTTAAGGAAAAGCTGTAGGATTCAGCTCAGCTTATATATTTTTTCAAAATGAATTTAGTTTGCATTTGTTTTATCGAAAGCAGTTTCAAACTTTATAAGTAGCAATCTTTACAAATTCTGTGTAAAGCAGAACACTTAGTTGAAAAGAATCCTATTTTAAGAAAATTATTTAAAGTTCTTATTCTTATTGGAAGTGCAATCTGAAAGCACATTCATCTTTTTTAAACAGTGGATCCCCTAGAGAAAGAATTGAATAGAGATGTCTTTATTTTGATATTATCTACCTGAACTCCTTGTAACTAGTAGAGTAATAATTTTTAATTATTTTACAGAAAACTGGCTCGTAAAGTACAATTAAAATGTTCCCATAAATAATGGTTCTGTATGCATATATGTGAGTGTGCTGTACATGCCCACAAACTATGAAAAGCTCCAATGTGTCATGTGTACCTACCTCCTTTCTGATCCCTCCACATCCCTCTGATCCCTTGAAAGTACCACTGATTTTTAACACTTGTTAGAATGAGGACTGCGCTGGTATTTAGACTTTTCTAATAGAAAACTCGAAAGTAGCAGGAGGTTGCATATCAGCCTACATTTTTCAGAGTCCAATCCTGGATTCCTTGAATATAAAACTTCCACCAATTTCAATGGAACTTTTGAGTGCAAAAAAAATTCGGTATTTGGTCCTTAGGCAGCACTCTCTGTAAATCAGTTACCTGAGTACCCAGTGGGAAAGTAAAAAGTTGGCTACTATACATTATCCATCCATGCTAGAAGAAAGACAGGAGGGCATGGATGTGGTTTAATTAGGCTGCAACTTTATCTGCTTATAACATCTGGGAGGATCCGGCAAATTGTACAGTACAGGGAGGTGGAGGTTAGCTCTCTGCTGATCCAGACATAGGAGCCCCGCCACCTTCCTTGGCTCCCTGAATGGGGACAGGAAAAGGAAGCGGTCGGCTCCCATCTGAAGAGATGTAGGACTCCCAAATCCCCCTTAAATCAGCTCCCATAAGGGATGCTTTCCTTCAAATCCATTTCCAATCCATTTATCCAAAACTATACCCCTTGCATACCGAGTACCTGCACTGGATGTCCACTTCTAGTATTACATATAAACTGCGACATGATAACCTAACCCACCTACTCCATCCCATCAGGTTCCCAGCTCAGGTGCAGAAAAGGTGAAAAAATTCACCTTACTTTGGTCAATCTGGCAGTGAGGGAAAAATTCCATTCCAGCCCCACAAAGAAAAGGGGCAACTAGCATAATGCCCACAATGAGTCAAAAGGAACAGGACCAGGTTCCCAAGTATATAGGTGCATGGGTGGCTGGTTCCAGCCTGATCCTGGTAAAGAGGGTGGCTGCATGGTGTATAAATACCTCTCCCATTTTTCCAGTCAGCAGGAAGGACAATGAAGTGACCTTGATCTGTCCCCAATTGCACCCTCCCCTTCTTGTCCATCCCTGTAAGCTTTCCCCCTTCTCTGCGCTGTTGCAAGGGATCCCTTAAGGGGTAATGCCCCTTTTCCTCCAGCTAGCCAGACCAAGATCCAGTTGCATAAAGGATGCAGTGGGCACATTCTTCAGAATTTGACCATTACCTAATATTCAAAACACCCAAAGGCTATTTACACCTCTACGTTTTAAGATTAATTATCATTTACTTTATCCAACTTTATTTTGGGCAGGAGGAGAGACGAATGATTTAGCTGAACAAAGTACAATAACTGTTATACTAAATGTAAAATAAAAATAAAAATATTATGCTTCATAATACCTCCGGCCCATTGCAAATGGCTTCATGTACCTCACTTGTCCAGAACATTTGAGACACACACAGCACTACCTGTCCAGGCCACTCGAGAACCCACTGCTTTCTTTCCGTCTCAGGATATGCCTAAAGAGTTAAATACATCACATGATGGTGTCAGTGTAAATAACTGAATACGTACCACTGAGTATGCTCCTGTATAATATGAATCTATATGATGCCTTTAATGATACTCTTTGGAATGCTGGCAATATTATATTTGTATTTTTGAAATAAAATACAAAAAATATTTCTTTTAAATTGCTTTTCCTTAATTTTCTTCCTTTTTTATTGCAAAATCATTAGATTTTAAAAGTCTCCCTATTAATTACTAGAATCTACCTAACATGCTAAATCACAAACAGAAACATTTTCTGGTTTGTGGTTTTCTTTTTAGGGAGGGCAAACCTGCAACAAGTATTTTGTTTACTTCTAATTTTTAATTAACTAAAAAAAAGATTGCAATCCTGAAATAAACTCTACAAAATAGGATATCTTAGAAGATTAGGTTTCAGAGTAACAGCCGTGCCAGTCTGTATTCGCAAAAAGAAAAGGAATACTTGTGGAACCTTAGAGACTAACCAATTTATTTGAGCATAAGCGGTTAGTCTCTAAGGTGCCACAAGTACTCCTTTTCTTTTTGCGAATACAGACTAACACGGCTGTTACTCTGAAACCTCTCCTTACGATGTGTATGATAACCAAGTTGGGCCATTTCCAGCACAAATCCAGGTTGATTTGTGCTGGAAATGGCCCAACTTGATTGTCATACACATTGTAAGGAGAGTGATCACTTTAGATAAGCTATTACCAGCAGGAGAGTGGGGTGGGAGGAGGTATTTTTTCATGCTTTGTGTGTATATAAAAAGATCTTCTACACTTTCCACAGTATGCATCCGATGAAGTGAGCTGTAGCTCACAAAAGCTTATGCTCAAATAAATTGGTTAGTCTCCAAGGTGCCACAAGTACTCCTTTTCTTCTTGGAAGATTAGTAATGTTGTCAGGCTTATTTTATACATTCTCGTGACCATGCAGGACAATTCTCAGTCCTGTTTAAGGTAAAACTCACATTGACCTAACTGGCCTAAAATTATAAGTCTCCCACCAAAAACTTAGACCTGATCCTGTGGCTTTCATATGCTTACATTACACTCAAGGCAAGAAGAGTTTTAGTGTGAGTAAGGCTTTTAGGAAAGCACCCTAAAATGAAGTAAGGACTACTCATATGTATATAGTTTTTTAGGAGGTGGCCTGGATCATATACTAGAAAACATACCAATCTTGATTCAGCAATAACATCATGTATACTCCTCAGCATAATATCTTCCACTTGGATCAGCCACTTCTCCACAGCACCTCGAGCTTCAGAAGTAGAAATGGTTGAAATCAGTTCCACTCGCTCACCTTCAGTGCTATACATTGCCTGAATATCCAGGTTAGGAAGGAAATGCAGCTTAGCAATGCCCTCAAAACACTTTTTCAAGTGAGGCTGAACTCTGAGAGGATCTTTTGTCTCTGATAGGATCTCCAACATTTCATCATTAGACAAGAAGAAAAAACTAGAAAAAGATTCACAAAAATGATAGAAATACCAAGTTACTATATGTGTCAGCCCAACTATACAGCAAAACATAATTTCAATCATCTTTAGTTTTGACGTAATCAACATGCAGCCTACCGAGGAAAGAACAGGCGCTTCTTTTCAAGATAAGCATTAAGCCCTTTCATGATTTTGTCGAGAAGCTCGTTACATCCCTGAAGTTTCTCCAATAAACCTGTCAATGAAGTGGCAGCAAGAACCTGTAACAACAGAAATATAATCTCCATAAGTGCATACAGTAAGTCACATACAGGGCACATGTACAAAGAAGGTTATTAAGGTGATAAATACATAGCACATGCTTTTATCCTTTAAGTCTTAGGTGTGAGTGCAGGTATAGTTCAATTCATTGAGTATTTTTACTAGAAAATTATTGATAAAAATGGAAGGAGGATAAAATTCTTTTCTTTTGGGGCCAGATTATTTCTGAATCAATATATTACCTTAGGGTCTTTGACACAATACTTCATAATGTCCCTCCAGTATCTGTCCACAGTCTGAAAGAGACGTCCCTCTTCTGGCATCTGTTGCATGATGTCCTCAGAAGAAAAGATGGGCTCCAAGTAAAGCCACTGAGCTTGCACTTTCAACCATTCATCAATAGTCTCCTGAATGCGAATAAGATGGTCTTCCCATTCCTTAACAAACATATTAAAATTATTGCCAGGATATATTCATACCCCATAAAGTTAAAGAGAGAATCAAAAGTAAAGAAACCAAACCTTATGGAGAGCACAACATGTTCTGTCTCCCAAGGAAACTTAATATAAACAGAAAAGTAAACCACTAGGAGGATTAACGTTCTTTCCTATACATGTATTACTTACACAGTTTGAAAAGTCTAACCTTCCAGTAGACTAGTTTCCCAAAGTGCTGATAACGCCTTTGAATGGAGTTTCAGATCACTTCACTATTATCATCGTTTAATAATTTTATGTTTAGGTAACATTCATTATGATACTTGAAATCCTACTCACCTCTCCATAGCCAGGATAGTCTTGCTCATAGCAGAACTAGGACAGATCCATATTACAGTAGGGGGGCAGGATTTGAACGGTCTGTATAAAGAGTACACACCACCTATGCTTCAGTGAGCCCATCGGTGTGTGGGTTCCCTGCATGCACTACCAAATGAGATTTTGGGGTGGTGGCAGGGACAGTAGATCCACCAAATATTCTCCTGATGGGGGAAGGGTGTGCAATAACTACTGAGACTATTCTAGCCCTGAGGTTAGAATAACAGCGGCAGAGGGGCTCCACTCTCTGTTCAGCACCCTGAGGAAAGTAATTCCTTCCTCTGCCAGCCCACCAGGAATCTCCCAGTGTACAGCCCATCTGCAAAGGCATGCCCTGAGGCCAAAATTTGGCTCATAAAGACTAGATCACCGAATACTTTCATTACAGATAATGAAGCCATTATTATAATCATCAGCAAGAAGGGTTAGAGAGTTTATATAAAATGTTGGTTTCTCAGATTAAAGTGATGAGGATATTCTGCTGCAGTTGGACTTGGCCCAAGAGGAAGAGAGAAACCATGACTGGGAGAATAAGGGGGAATCTCAATATTTAAAAAAAATAAAAATTAAAACAACTTGTAAAAGATTTTATTTAGAAACACCCATATCATCAAATTTTGAAAAATTAAATCCAACAATAATGCCACAATTATAAAACATTAGACCAACCATATAGTTATCACTTGAATATAAGTGGCCATTTTTAAAAGCAAATAAACATTTTGCCTCTCATACCTTGATTTCTTTTTCAAAAGGTTTAATGAAAGGCGATCCTCTCATTGTTTGAGTTTTTACAATCTGATCATCTAGAATAGTCTGAATCTCATCCACTGCTGACAGAATACTAACTCCAGTCTCACGATAAATGCTTGTATGGAAGGAAACAGACTCCCATATTTCCATCATAGCGTGCATAGCTTTCTCTAAAGAAAACTCCTATTGTATAGAAAGAAGGAGATATTTTATAGTCACTGCACTAATTTTCTTTGGTTGACACATTCAATATATAATCTCACATACCCAGATAAATCTTACGAGAATTGTCACTAGTACTAACAGCATGACATTGTTTTCTTTTATTATTTTTCTTAACATTTCATTTGCTGAAGCATAACAAAATAATACAGTTAGGTAACACTGATGCTACAACACAAAAGTCATAAATGCAAACAAATTCAAAGTTATAGCCAACACTCCATCCAATAGGTCATGTTGTCAGTGACGAGCTCTCAACAGACGCAGAAAGTTATATACAACAATAAAAGGAGAAAAAATCATTAAAATAAGCCCCAGAAACCAACACAAAAATATACTTCGCTTTTCATTTGTTTCTTAAGAGATTTACAGTCAGACCTCTGTGCTCACCTTACTTGCGCCTACACTTATGGTTTCAAATTGCTCCAGGTAAGGGGCTAGGTTCTGCTTTAAAACTTTTCTTAGGGTAGTTCCAGAGTCTGGAGTTAAATCATATCCTATTATATCTGACATCTGTTGCCAGTGGCGAGTCCTTATGCCTGGGTTACAAAGGATAGTCACTGTGGGGATATTCTCCTAGTTGAGAAAAAATTTGCAAAACAGAATTTCATCTATGTAAATACAAATTTTGCAGATAATGTGAATTATGATCCACCTATATTAGCTCACCCTCTTTCCCCTTTGCAGCTAAACTCTGCATTTCAGCTAATACATCCAGAGAAGTTGAATATTAAATGACCGTCCATAATATACGTCTACTATTATTTTCAAAACATAATTCCACATACCACTGACTCTCTGGAAGACGTGCCACTGTTCCTGATATCTAACAATCTTTTCAAACAATGTTTCCGTATCAATCTAAAACCTGTCTATTATAACACTTTCATCAGTAGATCTGCACTGATGATGAATTATAGATAATAATTTTGCTATTGTACATGCATTCCTAAGGGTGAAACAGAAGGCTTTTTACCTGCCAAGACCCAAGTTCAGATTTTCTCCTGAAACAACTGATGACATGAGTGACTTCAATTAATCCCTGAACAGTACAGATGGCTTCTTTCAAAGCACTGCTTCAGTTGTTACCAAACATTATTCATTAATTTTTTCTGAAGAAATACAGAATCATGAACCTAGGTCTTCGCAGGTGCATAAAAAAAGTAACCAATTTTTGACTACATTTTGTATTAAAATGTACTTTCTTATACAATTGTTCTACTAGTAATCTGAGAAAAAATACTATTTTGTATCTGTGTATTTTTTAATTCCAGTTTATTTTTAAATACAAAAGGGGCACATAGTGATGCTTACGAAGCCTTTAGCTGCCTTTATGTCTAATTTTCAGAATTCCCTATTACAGTTCTTAGATACGCCTCAAAATCTGTTTCTTTTACTGTAGCTTTTTCCATGGCAGGAAGTAATCGTTTTATTATTTATATAACATGTAAATTAAAAATATATTATTAATTCACTCTTTGGTTATTCATATACCTGAAAATTTGCCAAAACTTTAGGGGAGAAATCCTGGCCCTACTAAAATCAGTTGAAGTTTTGTCATTGATTTAAATTGGGCCAGGAATTCAGTCTAAATACATACTTGTTATCACTTGAAAAGCATGACAGAACCAACACTCCCATGAACACTGCATAGCAGGACTTGAAAAAAATCTGTCACAGCAGCTCACTACTAATATTTTGGGTTTGCTCCTTAGAAGAAGGCAAGTTCAGCATCACATTTAAATTATGAAGATGGCAGTGAAGAATATCTTGATGAAAGAATCCAAATGGGCATTTTCGTGTCAATACATTTTGACCTAGACTGCACCTTCAGGTGCACTGAAGAGGCACCATCTGTCTGGTCAGCAAGCAAAGTTTCCTGATTCTGGCTGAATCTCATGCTGATCACACTGATGTAACTGCACCAACATAAAGTGGGGCTTAAACTGGTGAAGTTTAATCCAATAACTGAACAAAGCAAACTGTGCCAGTTTAAGTCCTATTTTGCACAGATGCCACATGTCTACATTAAGCGTTTATATTATGAGTGTATATTATGGGGCTTGTCTACACCTACAGCATTTAGTGAAGGTGCTACGTACCCCAACGGGAGGGCTTCTCCCAACAGCATAGGTACTCCACCTCCCTGAGAAGTGGTCGCTATGTTGACAGGAGAAGTGCTGTCCTCACCATGGGTTAGTTTGTATAACTGATTTTCCACACCGCTGAACTAAGTAGTTGTACTGACATAAACTGGTAGTGTAGGCCAAGCCTTGATGTAGTTGCATTGGTGCAAATTCCCTTAATGTAAACAGGGAATCATCAGCCACAATTCCTCCTGTGCACCCTGATGCAGCAGCTTGATCTCTTTGAAGAAGTGCAGCATCCTCCTCATTCTTCTCCTGCTCCCATCCCCAGTCCTCTCTTCCCACTTCCAAGTAGCGACTGCCCATAAACTGTAAGTGGAGTACAGACCTACACTCCCCTAGCCACATCCTCAGCCCCTAGGCCTGATCTTTCCAGGGTCAAAGGGGGTGAAGTGAGAAAGTGACTTCTTCTCTTCTCCTGTGCACCCACTCAGGAGCCAGAAACAATCTGACCCTTAAAATATATCTATATCAATCATTCAACTTTCCACAAAATTCAGTCATTCACAAGGGGTTTCCCCCCTTCATTTCTGTGAATTATCAAGTTACTACTGTAACCAAAATGGATGTTTCAGATATTGTAGTATCTACTTGGATGAGTAATGATCTTAGGATTTGCCCCTAAGTGCTAAGTATTATTATCAATTTTTTTTAACCTTAAAGTCTTTGATCTGTCCCATTATTGATGAACACATTATAATAGTTCGATTTTCCTTCTTTTCTTCTTCCAGCTTCTCTTCTACTATGGCTCTGCGATGCAGTGTCTTCTTCTTTTCTAGCTCTGCTTTCTTCTGCTTTTGTTGAAAAAGCTTCAACATCTTGTATATCTCTCGAAAAAAATCATCTACCTCAGTCTCCATGCTTTCCCCATTCAGGTCCAGGAAAGCACCATCCATCCATCTGGGACAAAAAACAAAATTATAATGCATCTTATACAAGAATCAGAATGACAAATATATCATGTACCTACCTAAAACACATTTTTAAGTTTTAAATATACTATTTGTATCATAAACAGAAGTTTAAAAAGTTAAAAGAAACTTTTTAATGGATGTGCAGCTAATGTTTTTAATTCTGTCATTCTCTACAAAATAATAATAATAACAACCAAGAAAGCACTCACAGCTGTTTAGTAGCATCAGGGCTTTCACAGGGTATAGTCACTAGACGGTAACTACCATCTTGGATGGGTATGTACTTGGGGTGGCTAGTCCCTCCCCCCACCCTCGGCTGCTCACACCATTGCGGCTACATTCTATTTTTAGTGCAATAGCTCAATCAGAGTCAGAATGAATGCGTCTCCTAGAGCTGGAAATTATACCTCCAGTTAGGAAGTGTATACCCATTTTCACACACTTTAGACCTGTCACTATTATAGCTTATACAGCAGTATTTACCCACCACAGGTAACATCATAATTTGAGCAGGTCTACACTCCATTTTGGGAGTGCAGACAGCCTCAAAATTGAATTCTGTTATATAAATATAGACAGTGTCCCAGAGAAGTATGTTTCGGATGCCCAACGCAACCAGCAGAGAGGTAAATCTCTGTGGAGTGGGGTGGGGCGGGACTGGGGAAGACACGGTTGGTCCGACTGAGCCATGTCCCCCGCAACCAGAACCCCCCCGATGAGCTCCACTCCCCCTGCACCTGGACCACCCCGATGAGCCATCCGCACCAAAATCCCCACCCTATCCTTCCTCTACCCCTGCATGGCATCTGGAGCTGGGTCAGACCCACCCTCAGATTTCTCCTCTGGCTGTAGGAAGCTCTGCAAACTCCCCTCCCCCTCCCCCACCCCTGCCCCACGCGCTTCCTGTACCTGTTGCTCCTCAGCTACACTGTACACTGAGGAATCACTGTCCAGGGAGCTGCTCCCCCATTCACCCAACCCCTGTGCATCCAGACCCCCTCGTACCCAGACCCTCCGACTGAGACTCATCCCCCCTGCAACCAGAACACCCCCCGCCCCCGATGAGCCCCACTCCCCCTGCACCTGGACCACCCCGATGAGCCATCCACACCAAAATCCGCACCCTATCGAGCCCCAACCAGCTGCACCTGGATCCCCATCCCCACTGAGCTCCACTCCCCAGCATCTGGACCCCCACTGAGCCCCCCACACCCAAACCCTCCCTACCCTCGCTGAGCCCCAACCATCTTCACCTGGATCCCCTGCAGAATCCCATTACCGTTGCACCCAGAACCCCCCAACAAACCCCTGTACATCCAGATCCCCCCCCACCCAGATCCCCCCCCATCTGCCCACACCTGGATTGCCCCACACAGAACCCTTTCAACCCATACCTGGATCCCACACACACTAAGCCCCTCCACACATGAATCCTACCTTGCTGAGCCTGCCTGCCCACACCTGGTGCACCTGGCATGGAGGGGCAGAGTTCTGGGGTGTTTCTGGGGCAGGTCCAGTCCTTGAGCTATGTTAGGGTTGCGTGCAGATTCACTGCTTAGTCAGGGTCCGGGGGGGAGAGGGAGCTTCACAGTGATCTCCCACTTCTGTGCAGCCAGTGGCCTGTGCTCCCTAGTGCCATGCTGGAGCTTCCACATTTATTTGACAAATAAAATTTGCAGAATTTTGTATAATTTTAAAATATTGTGTGCATAATTTTTAATTTTTTGGAGCAGAATGCCCTCAGGAGTAAATGTAACTACAATATTTATATTCCAATCAATTTATTTTATAATTATATGGTAAAAATGAGAAAGTAAGCAAGTTTTCAGTACTAGTATGCTGTGACACTTTTGTATTTTTATGTCTGATTTTGTACGCAAGTAGTTTTTAAGTGAGGTGAAACTTGGGGTACACAAGACAAATCAGACTTCTGTATATCTATACCTGGATAGATATAAACACAGAGATGAAAATATTCACATGCAGGAGTTAAGCTTCAAAATAGCTCACATATCTTGCATGGAAAAAACAAAAGCAACCTGAATCTTTTAGCCTTTTCCTTATTTAGCTTTAAGACTATCAAGTACATAATTACCGTTTTTCTGTTCGTTGCCATTTCAGTATAAGAACAAAAAGTTTCTGATAGGGCTCGATATTAACTTTTAAACTCTCGAGAACAGGATACTCAGTCAACTCCCACTTGAAGAGAGTTTCTTCTTTATTAATAAAAGCTACTGTTTCCTCAGCTTCCTGTATGCGTTTCTGCAATGCTCTCATGTCAGTCACATACTGAAATCAAATGATTTTACATCTTTTGAAAATTATTCAACTTATGCTATGAATAGACATAATTACATGATATTAAAAGAGACAATAAATCATTGACTTTTCAAAATGATAAGTAAATTTGTGAGAGTTACAAGATACTAGCCTCATGCTCTTTAATAAAGACAATAACATGGTCCTCAAGCAGATGGACTGAGTTTTTCCACAATGAGGACAGTAGATCAATGCTCAGAAAAACAAAATAAGCATAATTTTACTCTTCTCAAACTAAAGCATTGTAAAAAAGTGTTCTCAAATTGTTTGAGTTTCAATGGTACATTGTAACAAAAAGAACACATATTATTAACTTCTCTGTAGTTAATATGTAGTCTTGGCAACTGCGAATCCCAAGTTTAAACTAGTTTCATGCTTTAAGATAATTTTTTTTAAATGTACTTAATTACTCAGTGAAGGAGTCAGGAATCTTCCCATTTAAGCAATTTTTTAAATTCAAAATATGGCAGGGAGTGTTTAGTGATGAGGGAAGGGGACTGGGACGTCATGAAGTTTCAGATCCAGCATTCAGTCTACTGTTCGTATACAATGGTGTTTTGAGATTTATGTAACTGGACAATTCCTATTGAAATTACTGACTGAAAACCCCAACAAACCTAACTTAGTGGTTTAATTTCCCAAAACTAAACATACTAAAATCAGCTACTGAAATCATGGCCGCTGTGAAGTCAATGGCAAAACTCCCATTAACTTCAGCAGGGTCAGGATTTCACCAAGAGTGTTTGCACAGCCTCAAAAGCATTTGCTTCCATATCTTTAATATCACTCCACTCTGTGACTACCTATTAACTGATTTAAACAACGTCCTTATGGTAAATTTCCCCTCCAATCAGAATATTAGTGCACTATGGTAGTTAGCGTGAAAGTGGGTGTCTAATGACTTTCATCAGCATAACAGTACAGCAATAGAGCTTTAATATTTAACTTTGTGTTTGCTACATCTTTTTTTAAAATCATAATCCTATTTCTTGTATTAAGCATATGTGACTCTTTGAACCCCCTTTATACTATGTATCAGACCTGTTGCATGCGATCCAGTTCTGAGAATTCTGTAAACTCTTCCATACAGCGAGTCTGCCTTTCTAGTTCCAAAATAAGCTTCTCACGTTTGGCCAGTAGTTCACTTTCACCTTTACGTTTAGATTGTTCAATCACCTATAAAATAGATACTTTAAATGTGTTAAAAGAAAAAAAAGCTTGCAGTAGACATTTGAGTGATCAAACATGTTGCATCAATGTTTTGTAAATAAGAGTTATCAGCATGGATAAAGAGAAAATAAATAGTACAGATAGATTATTTCCCTTGCAATAACTGGAGTTCTTATAGAAGCTTTTGTCCACAATGATCCTACTATGGGTAAGTGGCTTGCAGTTATCCCTCAAAAAGATAGATGATAGGAGTTTTATCTAAATAACAACTGTAGAAGAGTCCGGCAGAGCAAATTAGGCATCTGACCTAGAAGTTGTGACAATGGACTAGTGATTGGTAAACGTATGAACCTAACCACAAGTACAAATTTCAGAAATAGGCACCTCTCTGAAACAAGCCAGAGATGTCAACAGGGCCCGAGTAGAGTGCATCCTAATTTAAGAGGGAAAAGGCAGTTTATTTAAAAAAATTGGAAATCTGAATGCAGTCTGCAAGTAGAACTGAGCAAATAGTTCATTTTTCAATTCAGGGACTGAACTGAAAACCAATAGGGCCAGGTCTGAGCCCCATATAAAAAGGAAATATGGTGTTGCAAAAGCTGGAAAACAAGAACATAAGACCTCTCTGAAGCATAAGATCTGTGATGAGATGGACTCCTTCCAAAGCTACTCTCAGGAATCAGTGTAGGTGAAGGCAGAGATCTCGTATGAAAAGTGCTCCTGCTTCCATGCAAAAATGATTATGCAGATGAACAGAATTACTCTAAAGGGGGAGGCAATTCCTGAGCTGTAGAAATAGGAAAAGTCTCAGCCTGACAGCATGAGGTTGGATGCAGAGAGACTCTCATCTTCAGAACCTTGGGCTCCAATACCAGGAGTCTCCTGGCTACTGAAGAAAAAGGAGAGACAGCCACCAAGGGGGACTCCAGTTCTGGAGTGATAGTAAGGTCTGCAGGAAATGTAAAACCAGCCTTAGTAGATGAAGGAGACTGTACTGACAATGACAGGGCTCTGTCCAATGGTACAAATACTGGAGTCTCAGCAGAAATCTTGTCAGGATGTGGTACCAATGACAATGGGGCAGAGGAAGCAAGCATGGTACCAATGTGGTTTCAAAGGAGCCAGTTTAGACAAGTAAGCATGATGGTTTTTAGCCTTCTTGGTCAGTACTGGAAATGGCGACCAGTGCTGTGCCCTATCTGGAGATCTTTGCTCCTTCGGTCTTGGACAGGAGGAGTCACTGACTGAGCTGAGGAGAATGGACAAGAAGGCTTGATAGCAACATGAGGTCTCATAGAGCTAGCAGATCACTTAGCCCCCAGAGTGGAGTTTCTTCCTGTTTCAAAGCTGGTTTTGTTGAGTACCCCAGCTACAAGAAACTGCTCCTTAGGTGATACCTCAGAGTCAGACACACTTCATATTGACCTTTCTATAAAAAATAATTTTGAAACAAGCATCACAAGCCCTATCTGTGAGCTCAGTAAAACAAATACAGATGGTACACATGCTAGGGATATGAGACTCCTCTAAACAAAATAAACATTTTGTACACACATCACTGGGGCATAACAGTCTTTTAAAGCCCAAAGATTTGCTCTCTGCCTTCGGATGTATTCCTCAATACCAAAGCAAGACTCAAAGAAAGAAAAGTGCTTTGGATTTTCTTCACCCAACAGGCTTAAATAAAACTTTTTAAAAACTACACAAACTCTAAGCTCACTAACTATAACCTTAAACTATCTAAGAGTCATGGGAAAGCATGGGGATACTATGAACTCCAACTTGCTACCATGGGCAGTGCGAAAGAACTACAATGTGAATCATGTGGACTACAGCTCGAAGAAGTGGTGGAAGATTAAGAAAGTAAACTATTATGGACCAGGATCACAGAAAAACAACAACAGTTGCATATTCTTCATTAGTAAACTTTAACAGAATAATTGGAATTCCTAATTCTTATTTATCTAGAGAACAAAGTCACATGAAAAAATTAATATCCGGTACATTTAGAAAGAAAATAAAGCAATAATTTCTTCATATAGCAATGGTTGAATTTTTAAAAGGCCTAGATAAATCCCTCACATATGATGGTGATAAGCGTGCATATTAAAAGGATGATATTCATTTCTCATGCTTCAAGGCACAAACTTTTTTGGGTCTGGAAGGAATTTTCCCCATTGTATAAAGTATTACACAATTGGCTAAGTGCATTCTAGTGAATTTTTATCTTCCTCTGAATTATCAGGTATTGCCCACAGTAGAAGTAAGATACCAGACTTGCTAAAGACTTTAAGCTCAAATGACAGTTCTAATTTTCTATATTTGTAGCCTGCTGGTACTTGCTAAATATCTAATTATTATAGTCTCCATTAGTGCACTGGCTTCTTATAAATACATAAACCTGGTACCATGGCATTTGAGTGCCTTATAATGAATGTTATTATACACATTTATTTTCATCAGCAGTGAAAATAAATTATTCAAATACTTTACAAGGCCTAACAAATTAGAATATATAATGTACGAATAAAATATCTTTACATCATCATGTTCATCAAAGATGGGATTAATCTTCTGAGGCCACAGTAGGACTGTTGCATTCAGTGCCAGATCTTCAGGAGCAAATATAAAAACATCTAAAAGGTAATTCATTCGCCTTTCACATTCCTAAAAAAGAGATTCCACAAAAACTTGTATTTCAAGTTTGCTTATAGTATAGAATAGGATAACTGAAAATATTTATGAAGGTAAAACAGTGAATTCAGACCCATAATCCCTTGTTCCTCGTTATCCTGATCCAAGGATGAAATCCTGGCCTCATTGATGTCATTGCCAAAACTCTCATTGACTTCAGTGGGTGTCCCAGATTTCGCCTCAGGACTATAAATTATCAAGGAATTGACCTCTCATTGCTTTGAAAGGCAATGTAACATGGAAAGTTCGTATGCAGCATGTGTCTTCTCTGAAACTTGTTCCCCCTATAGTGATCACATCTCAGCTGCTGGGTACTATGCTTCTTGAGCTCTCCTTTTTTAAGGAGCTATAATAATATAGGCAATATAAAATTACATGTTGTTGTGTAGTTTCTTTTAAGTCAAATGAAGTTCAATTTTTAAAAAATTAGAAATCTATTAGAAGAGCATAAGATATTCAAGTTTATGCCTCCCTTAATGTGTAAACTTCTCTTATCTTACCATATTCTATTAACTTAATGTCTGTGTGAGGAAAGCCTACTACTTAGCACATATGCTCATCCTGCAGCATATGTTTTGTTTGTCATAGATGGCTTCAGCATCAAAGTGGAAAATCTGATCACAAATCACCTTGACCCACAGTACAAAACAAATCAGAGAGCCACTTGCCCTCTGAGATTTTAGGACTAGTGTAGATCTGTAGTGTTGTTTTAGATTCCTTTCTTACACAATTTGAAATATAATATTTCCTATTTTTCCTCCAAGAATAAACAATCACAGCTCAAACACTAAATAGAAGCATCTTCTTGTCAATCCCATCCAAACAATAAAAGGCTCATCTCTGACAATTACAGACAACATTTTAAACACCAGAGGCTGGCTGCAGCTGTAAAAAACCTGCACATTAACAAAACTGTATGTACCAACTGGTACCCTTTTGTGTCCCTAATTATCATATTTACACACATAAATGTAGTTTAATATGTGAGTGTGTATTTTTTGCAGATACAATCAGCTTCTAGTTTTTATAAATTTGGCCTTTAAAGTCAGGACCTAGAGACAGTCTTTAACTTGAGTCTCCTTCAAAAGACATACTGTGATAAAAATAAAACTTCAAGTCCAGCTCATTTGAGCTATAATTGAAGGAAAATCCTGCCCATCCTCTTCATGCATGTAAGCAGAGGGGGATAGGGGGTGAGATGTATAAAGTTCACACAGAGGAAGCATTCATCTTGTGTTGCATGGATCCCAGATCTCCATGGTGTCCTTAAGCTCCCGTTAACCAGAACTTTTAGTTAATCTGGGTACAATGTATTGTATACTTAGACAATGCCTAAAAACATATAAAAACATGCTATGTAGCAAAGATCTAGATACAGGTCAGGGACAGTGGACTTGTCATTGCACACAGTCACCAGCTCTTTCCCACATGTGAGGGGAACTCAGAGTATGGAGGACATTCTAGCCCAGTGGCTGGAGCAGCAACTGTGGAGCAGGTCCATTGTTACAGGAGATTTTTGATACCCAACTCCACAGAAACTCTCCAGTGTACAGGACTGGAGAAGAATTTAAGCCAGAAGAAATATAGACATTTACCTGGATTTTTATGAGCAGTGCCTGAATACCTGTGGTTTTTGCCTTTTCTACATAAGCTATCATTTCCATCATTTCTTCTGTGGTCTCAGGAACTTTTAATGCACGCTCTTTAATTGTTTCAAATTCCTTGCATATTCTGTAAAATCGTATGTCAAAGTTTAAGATTTTGTTTAACTTGGTTTCTAGCTGAGCCATAAGACCAGCAATATGTGTATGACAGTTACCAAGCATTCCTGGAACTATCATTCCAATTATCTCTTTAAAATCACTGGGCCAAGTCCATCCCTGGTATAATTCCGTGATTTCAATGTCACAGTGAATTTGGCCAATTAGCTGTAAGAGTCATATACATCCCTTTACTTTTACCCTTCTAGTAATTCTTAAAATATTTGTTATACAGTTGTTGCAGAAAAATGTTTTCTTTTTTTAAAAATAAGTACATTGAAACTTAAGCACAGTATTAGGGCCATATATTATTCATTCTCTCTCTCTCACACACACACACACTTTCTCTCTCTCTCTCTCTCTCACACACACACACACACACACACACACGGTCTGCTTTGCATTATAAGAATGTAACCCCATTTTGCCATTCTTGTGACATGGCATCATGAATTTTGGATAGTATTTGAGAATTTTATCATGCCATCATATAGTTTGATTTATTTCCTAACAGTTCATCCCTTACATATATAGATAATCTATAGATGTCTCTCATTTATACAGAGCTTCGAGAAATCTAGAAGTCCCTTCCTCTGGCCAATTCTGGCACTTTACTCTTGGGAAGCCAAGAATGCAGTGAAGTAGATCTCTTGCCGGGCAGTTTCCCAAAACCTGCCAGCTCTGATAGAAACACTGTGCTCTTGCTGGAGTTAGGACCTGAAGTCCAGTAAAGAGACACCAGGCAATGCAACTCCCCTGAGATACTACTGACTTTCAGTTAACCAGGAGTTTTGGTTAATCAAGGGAGTAAAGTACTGTATATATTTATACACTGCCTAGACAACACAAATGCAACTATGTTAAATAATATTCCTTTCCAAGAAAGTGGCGATTTATAGCAAGAAAGTGTACTCACTTTTCATTTTCCTCTCTGTGATTAGCAACTATTCTCTCCATTAGTATATTTGCAAAGCTTTTTGCTTTATCAGTCAAACCCTGTTTCAAATCATCACAGTCCAAACGTACCATAGGGAAATGAGCTAGTAGTGGCAAACTCATGATTTCCTTAGCAAGGCTGAGAAACTCATCTATGAACTTCAAAATGACATGTACACATGTTAAATTGCAGAAACATTCTTTCAAATATTTAGATCTATGAATAAGAGTTATAAATTATTTAAAAAGCTTTAAAAATAATACTTTATTCTGATTACCATATTTATTCTGAAAAAAAAATCCACTTGTGGATACCCAATATGGTTTTGTGAGCTTAATGGCTGTACACCTATTTTTCTCTATTCTATTTTTTTAATTATTGCACAGAAAAATTATGCATAAAATGTAGAATTAAAACTTACAGCAGTATATTCATCAAAATTGTGTTCTTCTGCTTCAAAGCTCTCTATTCGTGTGTCTGCTGTACCATCTACAAGCCAACCATACCTTTCAACTGTAAGGTAATAATCACATTGAAACCACAATGCATGTACATAGAAGTAGGCTAATTATTTCACAAAATTCACTTCAAGTACTAACGTTCTCATACAAAATGCAGTCTTAGCTCACTTACCATATCTTTCAAAATGTTCTTTTGGACCTTCCAAATTGGCCTGGATTGCTCTCTTCAGTGTAGATGAGGCCCAAGCTATGACATGGTCAGCAAGTTCAGTGTCAAGGGTTACAGCGGTGGGCCCTCCAGCTAGCCAAGAATGTACTGTTTGAACATTCTAACAGAAGCAGAAAATGACAATTATATTAAAAAAGTAAAAGAACAACAATACAAGATTTAGATACATGTTCCTAAAATATAACTTGGAAAGGTTTTTTTAAAACTGGGCTTGCTGCTATTATTTATTTGTGTTGCAAAATCACCAAGAGACCCCAACCAAGATCGGGGCCCCATTTGTGCTTGGGACCACGCGTACACATGCACACCGAAACTCCCTGCCCCAAAGAGCCTACAATCTAAACAAATAAGATGGACAAAAATGTATTATTTCCACGTTACGGATGAGGAACAGAGGCATAAATAGATATACGGCACCCAACACCCTTACTCTGTGGTTAGCCCCATTGAAATCAATTAGGCTACTTCCAGAGTAATGTATCACTCAGTATGAATAAGGTTGTTGGAATCTAGCCTTCAGGTACTTGCCCACAGTCACCCAGGAAGTCTGTGGCAAATCTCAAGTCCCAGTCCGGTATCTTAACTATAAGACTTTAAACCCTCACACTTTAATTTAAGGGACTAGAGGTGTTAGCTATTTAATAGATATATCCTTTATCCAAAATGTTAGTCATTTGAATTAAGTTGATGATAACAACAAAAACAAAAGAAAAAACTCAGACTTTAAAAGTAAAAATCCCTCCTCCTCTCCACTGCTTAGTTCTACAGTCAGCAGAGTCTTCTATGACAAACATGACCGGAATTACTAATGTTAAAAAAACAAAACAAAACAAAACCCAGAATTTTTACTTATTATAATTAAAACACTTTCAGGCAGCCTAAATACATGAAAAGAACAAAATAAAAAAGGATGAGAGGAGGACACGACCATTTCTTTTTCCTTTAAAGGTCACCTTTAAGTTAAAATTCACCTTTAGGGGCAAGCTTCAGCCTGGCTTTCACCTATATTTGTGTGAATATTGCACATGCACATACACAGCCCTCACTTTACAGGTGTAAACACACATGTGCAAACTTTAAAAAAAATTCTAACATCTGTGCACAAGCAAGGAACAGTCACCAACTTTTTCCTGTAACTGTTGTTCCTCAGCTTGTGTTGCACATATCCATTCGACTGTAGGTACGCACGCACCTTGTGCACAGTTATCAGATTTTTCCCTCAGCAGTACCTGTCGGGGTGGCATGAGTACCCTCTGTTGCCTCATGCCATTGCATGCAGATATGAAGGGAGAAGCCGCTCCCAACCCCTGACAGTTCCTTCTTATAGGAAACAGAGAGAAAGGAGGGAAGGTTTGGAATGGACTTATGCAACACATCTCAAACAACAACAGTTACAGAAAAGGGTTAGTAAGTGTTTCTTCTTCTTTGAATGACTGCACATGTCCATTCCACTGTAGGTGACTCACAAGCAATTCAAACCAGAGGTGGGCTTGGAATCTACTAGAACAGGATTGTAAGAACATCTGTCCAAATCTGGCATCATCTCTAGTCTGATGTGAGAGAGGGCATAGTGCAAGGCAAACATATGGATCAATAACCAGGTGGCTGCCTTACAAATGTCCAGGATGAGCCAGAAAGGTCTCAGAAGCTGCCTGTGATCTGGTCAAATTAGCCATCACTCTACTTTGGGTGCAATACCAGCCTTTCAGTACCATAGATGAACACATTTGGAAATCAAGGAAGTGATCCTTTGAGTGGATACTGGATGACCCTTTATTCTGTCCAAAAATGCAATGAACATTCGTGATAAAGACCTAACTGGCTTAGTCTGATCCAGGTAAAAAGCGAAAGCTTTTCTAACATCTAGAGTATGAAGTTTTCCTTAATTTTTACAAGATCGAGACTTTGGAAAGAAAGTCAGTAAATAAATTGCTTTGTTAATATGGAAACTGGAAACCACTTGAGTCAGGAACTTTGGATGAAGTCGAAAGAGAACCTTGTCTCTAAAAAAAATTCTGTAAGGAGGCTCTGATCCCAAGACTCACAGTTCCCCTACTCTCCTGGCTGAGGTAATAGCAACCAAGAAAGCCACCTTGATAGAAAGGTGTATCAGATAATAGATCTCCAGCTCCTCAAAGGGAAGACCCATCAACTTTGTTAGAACTAAATTTAAATTTCTACGGGAGGATCGGGCTATATACCTGTGTATATAATCTGTCCAAACCCTTCAGAACCCTGGTGGACATAAGGTTTGAAAAAAGCAAGCAGCTATCCAAGGGAGGGTGGAAAGCTGAGACAGCTGCCAGGTGACTCTGACAGAAATAACAGCTAACCCTCATTGCTTCAGAAACAATAATCCATTATATGGTGAATAGGAGCTTGAAGCAGGGAAACACCTTTCTCTGTGGACCAAATGGAGAATCTTGTCTATTTAGGAAGGTAAGCAGTTCTAGTTGAAGGCTTTCTCTATTTAGAAGAACTTCCTGCACTCCTTTAGAGCAACCTCCTTCCAAGGGTGTAAGCCATAAAGTATCCTCGTTGTCAGGTGAAGGGCATGCAGGAGGGATGATGTAGGAGGCCATGGTCCTGAGAGATCACATCTGCATCCTGCAGGAGTAACAGTGGAAATCTTACTGATAGGGCTATTAGAGTCAAAACCCAATGCTGATGGACCCATGCTGGGGCTATTAGTATATGGCGAGAATGGTCTTGTTTGACTTCAGACAAGATCTTGGACAGGAATGGCAGGAAGACATGCAGCATGCCCTTCAACCAGGGTAGGAGAAAGGCATCTGTCAACGAACCTGGGCTGTTGCCTGCTTGGGAACAAAAAAAATGACTTTTTTGTTTGCTTTTGTTGCTAACAGGGGGAGTCCTACACAGCTGGAAAATGGAACTGGACACTTCTGGATGAAGAGACCACTCATAGTGGTTTGTGAATTACCTGGTGAAGTGATCTGCCAGAGTATTCTGAATTCCAAGAAGGTAAGCAGCGTTCAGGCTGATAAAACTGGCAATGCAAAAATTCCAAAGCAGAGTTGCCTCTTGGCATAACTTTTGTGGACTGGGCCCCGCGTTGTTTGGTTACATGACTATTGTATTGTTGGCAAACACCAAGAAATTCTGACCCGGGATATGTGGAAGGAATGCTATGCAAGCCAAATGGATGGCCCAAAGCTCCCTAATAAGCTTTAGATTTTGGAAAGACCAAAGACCTTGCATCTGAAAGGGGTCCTAAGTGAGCTCCCCAACCTAAATTCGATGCATCTGTGACCAGGGTGATTGCCTGTTGTGGAGAAGCAAAGGGAACTCCCACACAAACCCCTGAAGGTTCTATCTATCTGTCCAGGGAGAACAAGACCTGAATAGTACTTGAATAACCATTTCTGTATGATGGCAGGCTGATGACTACACCACAGCTAGCCAATCTTGCAGCTCCTTGAAGTGCATTCTGGCACGCTGCACCACACAAGTGCACACTGCCATATGCCTTAGAAGTTTCATAATGTAGTGACAGGATGTGCCTTTAGAGCTACAGCAACGACCTCCATTGTTTGGAATCTCAGCCTTAGCAGGAAAGCCCTGGCCTGCTCCAATAAATTCTATTCTCTCTACAGGAGTCAGGGTAGATTTCTGCTTATTGATTAGGAGCCCCAGTGTGTCAAAGGTGGACTGTATAGTTGCCATGCTGGACAGTATCTGAGATCTGGACTGGCTTCTTACTAGCCAGCTATCTAGGTAAGACTCCTGACTTTTACAGGAATGCCGCTACCACAAGCCTGTGTGATTTTTCTTTTACCTCTTCCAGTTGGATATTCAAAGCTGCAGCCATCCTCCTCAACAAGTCCTGATGAGCTTTATAATCATTAGAAAGGGGAGAAGCAGACTCTTATCACCACCTCCTCAGGTGACAGAGAAGAACAGGTTAAGGGTTGTTGAGGTGGAGCCTTCTCCAATTCCTCCCTAGAAGAATCCAAAGTACACAGGTCCCTGTGCATGGTATCAGACCCGGTACTGGAGGTAGGCAGATGCTGTCCTGTTGTAGATGTTCCCGATGCCCAGCCAACATAGCAGGGTGGGAATGGAGTAGAGCTGCTCTACACTGTGGAGGGAAGCCCCAAGGGTAGCAAAAGGCCCACTGAAATGGAGGTGGGACCCAGTTATGTCCAGGCCATTGGTCCTTGGAATGCTGAGCATGGGGTCTGCTGAACAGATCAGCTGAGACACATAAGAGTTTACCTCAAAGTCATCAAAGTCTGATGAAGAGCCCTCTTCCTCAGGTTGACGAGGAGCTGACCCTGTCAGTACTGGTGAGACCGGTTCCAAGTCTGCAGACAGAGGAACTGGCGAGATCATCACTAGCTTCCCTCTAGATGGAATCCTCCTGAGGTGCACTTACCGTAGCAGCCACTGGTACTGAATGGTGCGTCGGGGCTGGAGCCGGAACCATTGAAGCATATATGGCAGATCCCAGTGTTGGTGAGAAGTCCTGAATAGCTGGGGAAACCGGTATTGACAGGTTCAATAATTACTGAACTGCATCAAAAGCCTTGGTCGTAGATGGCACCAGAAAAGAGCTCTTGGCTCTGTGGTATTGAAAGGTGCATTGGCACTTCAGGCATCAGTTTCAACGGGCCCGTCCTAGGCTCTGGAGTGAGCGACCCCTCTTGGTTTAAGGACTGTGCCTGGGAGTGCCTCTTCTTTGAGCACTCCTCTGTGTCATTGCCTCCACTTGTTACTGTCGCTGAAGATCTAGAAAATGCCGGTATGTCTGAGTCTTTAGAAGACTTATATTGCCTCTTCTTTGCTATTGCTGACAAAGGTCTGCCTCTTGAGTCAGTCAGACCAAGGGGAGCACTCCAAACAGATTTGAACATGCTTGGTACCTGCTCTGTGCAGGAAGGATCTGAAGACGGGAAAACTGCAGGCTCCATGAGCAGATTGTTGAGTCTAGCTGCTTTTTCTTTAAGCAGAGCTTGAACCCCCTACAAATGTCACCTTTGTCACTCACATACACCTCCCCCAGACTTTCAAGGCAGCTGGGATGCAGGTCATTCACTGGTATAGACTTGTCACCTGAGTGATAGGTCTTAAAACAAGGGGAGCAAGGCATGAGTCCGGTACCAGTACCAAAACGGAAACTTGTGATTCTATGCTATTAAATACTAACCTAAACTTACTCTTTCATCTAAACTATCTACAAAAATTTAAACTAGCCTAAAACTAACACAACAGGTACTATATACACTAAAGAGGGTAGAACTTTCAAATGCAAGGATAACAGCTCCAACAACCATTACTGGTCATATGAAGGAACTGATGGGGGTCAGGGATGGCTCTGCCCTTTATACCTGCATGCAGGGGTGTGAGGCAGCAAAGGGGACTCATGCCACCCCAAGAGGTACTGCTGAGGGAAAAATCTCCAACAACTGTGCACGAGGTGTGCATAAACCTACAGTGGAATGGATGCGCTTCAAAGAAGAAGTGTTGGGTTTTATGGGTCCAAACTCTATTTGTCAAGCTGCTCACAATGTTCTCACTGGGGAATAGTCTGTGAGACAGAGGGCATCCAGGCCTCCCTTTTCAGACTGTTTCATGCATATGTTGCCATTGGCAGCAAATACTAACCATCAGATGGCACATAAGCAAGTTACTTCTGCTCCTGATCCAAGGCACACCAAAACACACCTCAGAGCTCAACATCCTGACTGCCGTAAGGAATCATGCTCTGCATTGCAGAATATTTGCAGCAGAGAAGATACACCAGGCTACATTTCTACTTCTAAACTCTCTTCTGGCCAGGGCAGGATATGATCCTAAATTATTAACATCTTCATATACTCTGTAACGTTACACATACGAACTCCGGAGGTAAATAAAGATTAAACTGCACCTGCAGAGTCTGCCCTATCCGGGTCACTATAAACAGAATGGCTTCTTCCAGATCTTGAAAGTTTGGATAGAACTCCATTTTCTCATCATCAAAAGTCAATTCCATCTTAAACAATGGCAGCCATCTTTTGTCTTCAGGATCAAAGAGCTTCACATAAGCTTCAACGGTTCTTCTCAATAGCTCTTTCAACTAGACAATACCACACATTGACTTTATTACATGAGAACACAGAAAACTGTATCTCTTCCACTTTTTAAATAAATCAGGATGTCCATTTTATTTCAGTACTTTGAGCCTTGCCCAGAGTCTAATGAAATCAATAGGAGTCCTTCAACTGACTTCAATGGGGCATTAGATCAGACCCTTAAAAGTAACACCCACTTCTGTCAAAGTGTTTTTATCTGCTATTGTTACAATAACACAACTAATATTACTAGTACACCCAAGCATTACTATAAATGACAGAAAGAATATGATAAATATTTTTCTTTCATTTTTGTTTGCTTACTTTGTGCATTTGAAAGCCCTTTGTATACATTAGTTTCAACTTTTTTCCTATAATTTTTTTTCAGGGTTTAATCCTGAACACACTTACACATGAGCAACTTTAATCCCACTGAACATTATCCATATGTTTATGTATTTGCACGACTAGGTCCTTAGTCAATTTCCCTTCTTTGTATGTGTGTGTTTGTTTTAAAACACAGCAGCAGGGTAGAGGATTTTTTTTTAAAATATGGGAAATATAATTTTGCAACCATGAAAACTGGCTGGGGAATTCATCAATTTTATCTCATTTTTTTAACTGATTAGGTTTCAAGTGATTGTCTCTCTTGAAAAAGACTATTGAACTGTTTTATGTCTAAAGTTTTCATTCACCTTGGGGAAAATAAAAACACTTAATACTATCTAAGTCTTTTACTAAAGAAAACTTTTTAAAAATCTGACAATATATTTTCCTAATCTAACTGGATGCCAGGCAAGAGAGAGTTAACAATAATATTTTTAATTAAAAATAAGAGATGGTATATTGAACTGGCTTATTTAAAAATCACCAAATTATTACATATAAAAGTTAACTATTGTAGGTTCAAAAGATATTCACCTGGTTAGACATAAGTGTAGCCACACAGTTATAGAAAGAATCAACTTTATCTGACTTTACACCCTCTAATGCTTCCTTTCTGGTGAAGAGATTGACAACTCTTGGATACCATGTGTTCAGTAATTTCTCTTCCGTTTTTGAACAGTTTAAAGAAACATCATTCTTCAGTGATTCACAATCAATTGGACCTTTCAAACTGTTTACCAGAAAAAGAAAAATGAAGGACTGATTTGAAAATTAAATTCTACAATCTAACAGAACAACTGTGTAGAACTGGGATCTTAGTGCTATACTATATCTACCTAACTATGCAGTCTATTCTTCCTTTAAAGAAAGGTAAGCCTAAGTGGCCCTCTTACAGTCAGATTGAAAAGCCCCAAAACTAAAGAAGAACTGATACTGGGAACAGGATCAGCAACAATGGTAAGGAAGATAAAACTGGATCTATCAACTATAAAGATTGGAGAAAAATAACCAAATGTAAATAGTAAAGGGAACATGTAAAAGTGGGAAATGAGCATTGGTGAAGTTTCCCTAAAGCTAGCAATCTTGCTAGAAGAGACTATATCAATTTCTTCAGGTAAAACTACAGGGAATCAATCCTACTACATGTCACGTCCTGGCCCACTGAAGTCAATGGGAATTTAGCCATTGAGTTCTACTGCTCATGAGCTGGCCCTAAGAGAACATACTCCCAACGTACTGATATTACTCATAATGTACGAGCAGATAAACTATTTGTGCACAGCACAGAGTAGGAAAATTATGTTAAATGTTTTACAGTGTGATGTTTCCTACTTATAGGACCTTGAAGACCCAAAATAACACTTTAAGTATTTCATTATTCATATATCAAATTAAAATAAATTGCAATTTCATACGATTTTTATTGACTACAAAAACACTGCTCATATAGCCAACATTTATAATCTTAATTCAACAAATGATATTTTACCTGACATTTGACAAGTCCACTATTAGTAATTTGGAAAATGTTGTGTAACCAATATCCAGTAAAATTTTCAGAGTAGGATGAAGAATGTGCAAGTTTGTGAGGATCTGACTTCTTGCTTGTATAAAACTGTTATGCCATGGTCTGGAAAAATCCAGACCTCTGAAAAAGTAAAAGCAACAAGTGAAGAGAACAAACAATACAACATATTAAAGAACTTCAGTAAAATATCCTCCAGATCTAAAAAGTGTGATTTTTAAAATAAAATAAATAAATTATATACAAACACACACTTATGCATGAAAGGGTGTTATGCGCATATCTTCAACAAAAGTTATATAAATAAACTGCCCACTCATCCATGAGATAATACACTCTATTTCAGATCAACTGGTTTTACCACAGTTTCACCATCATAAACTGTGATTTCATCAGATGTTATTAACTCAGAAGGGTCAGACTGGATTAGCATTTGAGTGAGAGATGCAAGTGCTGGTGATTCAGCAAATGGCACTCTTGCTTCTAAATAAATATACCAACAAAGCGTGACAGGGCATGCCATAATTGCCATCTTTCAGACCAAATTCAAAACCAAGTTCCAGACTACAACTGGTCATTAAAATTCCCATTGCACTTTTCAAGAGAGTATTTGTATGAACACTGTCCTAGTCAAATTCCAAATTAGGGAGTTATATTCTACCTAAATCTCCCTACAGATTCAACTGGGTATGATATTCTTCACTTCCTGTCTTAGAGCTGCATCCCGCACCACTGAAGTCAGTGGAAGCTTTGCCATCGACTTCAATGATTGCAGGATGAGGCACCCAAAGTGTAGTGCACTGTTGCTCTCTACCACTGAAAAGCCGCATTTCATTCTAGAGGTGGCTACATTTCAGTTGTGGGCAACATGATCTTTATGATTTGCATAATCAGAGCCAGAGTCTGATATCCTTATTCATATTGAATAACACCTTACTTCATTAGTCCCATTGACCTCATATAGAACTACTCTTGAAGAAGGGTGATGCTCTGTGTGAGCAAGGGTGCCAAAATGTGCCCTGTAGTGAAAAATGTTAAAGAATTAATGATTCATTTGGATGTAAATTGCTATATAGGAACAAGAGCCTGATTATTGCTGAATTGCAGAATCAATACTAGGGGTCCACTTATCCCATTATTGTGTTTATACATCTCAGTAAGAGTCGCCTACATGTAACTTAAAGCGTGATTAGTCACTAGGCTACTTCTTAACTTAATTTACTCACAAAGGCGATATTGGTAACGGTCCTTCCTTTTCATCTTCAAGTCCTTTTACATCAGGTTTCACAAGAACACTTCGCACTAGAATGCATTTATAAATATGTAACCATCAGAAGGAAATTCAACTATCTTTAATTTGCACAAATGGAAACTGGCAGGTATTTTCTCTGTCTTTCCCTGGAGAGGACCAAAACTTTGGTATGATGGAGATTTAACTATCACTCAAATCTTCAGAATATTTCCCCCCACAAAGGTCCCTGATGAGGCTATTTTAAAAGTTTGTATTGTCAAGTATGTTTTGTGGATAACTGATATTAAATAAGGAATCTCCTTTCCCATCCAACTGTCCCTTAATCTTCATAAGGTTTTGGATAAATAGTGCTTAACATGTAAAATAATTAGAACATTTAAAAAAACTTCCATTGGAGAGTATGTTGACAGGGCATTCTGCTGCCATAAGTGCCATCTTGTTCATATCAAATTCTAAACCAAGTTCCAGACTAAAAGTGGTCATTAAAGTTCCCATTTTTCAAAAGAGCATTGGTAGTAGTAGGGACACTATGAACATGCCGACAACATTTTAAATTAAAAGAATAACCCAACCTATTATTTTTAAATATTAGCCACAAAAATATTGGGTATAAAATTTTGTCACAAATACTTTTGCAGTTTCAGAAACTTTTAGTGCAGAAAAAAATTATGGAAGCTTTAGATTAAAAAAAAAATCTAGTTTTAAAATTCCACTTTCAAATCTTTTGAAAACACGTTTCAGAAATGTCTATGAAAAATCATTTCCAACAAAAAATATTCAGTTCCAGTTTTAAGCACCTCACTTTATAACTTGCAAAATAAAAGAAAGTAAGAAGGGCATTTGTCATTTGGTTCATCTTCACCTTACCATGATGTTGTTTATAATGTTTACTTTAATAACAGTAGAAAGTAGAAGAAAATTAATTCAAACATAAATTATTATATTATTTGTATTATTGTTTCACCTAGAGGCCCTGATAAGAAATCAAGTGTGTATATAGTGCCCATTAAGCTAGGCACTATATACACACACATAACAAAAAGACAGTTCCTTACAATCTATATTGTGAGAGACAACAGGCAGGAAAAACAAGCAGATGGGGGAGCAGCACAAAGTAACAGTGAGACAATTTTGATTACACCAGCTGCCTAGCTGTTATCAATTATTTTGTAGGCAACATGACAGATGTTAAGTTTTCAGGAGAGATTTGAAGGATAACACAGTTTCTTTGCAGATTTTTACCAGGAGCTTGCCCATGCGTAAGAACTAACACGGGAAAAAAGGATGAGGGTGCTTGTGAGAAAATATGATTAATGAACAATAAAGGCTAATATCCCTGAAATAGAAGAGGCAAGAAAAAAGGGCTCTCTAACATAAAAATGATGAGTAACGCAGAGATAAACCAAGAAGGTTGTGTCTTCAGTAGGAAAATAGGTATGTTCTTAACTCAAGTAAAGTAACTGAAATTATTTAATCAAAGGTAACAACCAAGCAAAGACAAGACAGTTTATAGCCTTCACATAAGTAAGCAGAATGAGTTAAAGACTAGATGCCTCTATAATCTTTAACTCATCTTGCTAATTCAGGTGAAAACTACAAACTGCTTTGTCTTCACTAGATACTACTTCAAGTTAGTTAACTCGAGATAAGGACATCCCTTTTTTTCCCCAGTGATGATTTTCTGCAGCACCATTTTGAATGGATTATAACATGTACATATTCATACATTAATATTAACATAATGTATCTTGTCGCTCTTACCCACACATCTCTTCATGCTCATTTCAAAATCCTTTGTTACTTCATCTAAAAGCTCTTCAACCAGGAATTCTCTGTCCTTGCCTTCCATGAGGGACTGAGGCACCAGAGTGAGCATGGAGGTCAGCCACTGCTGCTGAATAGGGACTACTGGATTACTTTCCACACACTTCTTCATAAAGAGATAGTTGGTCTGAAAGGACAATAATATCATAATCATTAATCCTCTAAACCAGACTTTCATCACTTGAGTCAGGGTATCAATGGGATTATCATCCCATCAAAGTAATAACTAGTACACTGAAGGCTGCTCCAAGACAGGTAAAAAAATTTTGCCTGCCCCATTACTCAGAGACGGTGTATTGTTCTCTTTCCTGCCTCAGTTTCTGCTAATGCTTGTGGAGCACATCTTTGTGACTTTGATAACAAAATAGATAGCTTCCTCTAAGGCACTTCATGCTCATTTCAAAATCAATTGAGCTGGAGTAAATGACTGGTCTCTTGGGACTGGAACGTGTATATTTTGTGATTTTTGGTAAAGGTCAGTGGTTTTCAAATTTTTTTTCTGGGGACCCAGTTGAAGAAAACTGTTGATTCCCGTGATCCAATGGAGCTGGGGATGAGGGGTTTGGGGTATGGGAGGGGCTCAGCGCTGGGGCAGAGAGTTGGGGTGCAGGGGTGAGGGCTGCAGGGTGGGGCCAGGAATGAGGTCAGGGCTCTGGGCTGGGGGTGCAGGCTCTGGTGTGGGCCGGGGATGAGAGGTTGGAGTGCAGGAAGGGGTTTCAGGTTTGGGGGGCTCAGGGCTGGGGTAGGGGACTGGGGCATGGGATTGTGGTGTGGACTTACCTCTGGTGGTTCCCGGTCAGTGGCGCAGCCAGGGTGCAGAGGCAGGCTTCCCGCCTGTCCCAGCACTGCTGACCGCGCTGCGCCCCAGAAGCAGCCAGCAGCATGTCTAGCTCTTAGGCGGAGGCGCGCAAGCGGCTTCATGCAACTCTCGCCCACAGGCACCACACACACACCCCTTACATGCCCTACCCCAGTGCCTTACATGCTGCGACCCACTACTGGGTTGCGACCCAGCTTTGAAAAACAGTGGTGTAAGTGACCATTTTTCACTAAGTCCAGCTTGCCTGGGTAGCAAGATAGGCTCTCTAGTCTAAGGGGACTGTCTGTGACTCGATGGTAAGACTGTTATAGTGATCCAGGCAGGGCTGTCCTTACCCATATGCAAAGTACGCAGCTGCATAGGGCACTAGGCAGTTTGGGGCACCACATTTCCTGGTGCCCTGCGCAGCTGCATACTGCTCCAGCCCCTGCTCCGCCTCTTCCCCATCGCCCCCGCCCCTGCTCCGTTCCAGCCCTGCCTCTTCCCACCCCTGCTCTGACGCAGCCCCGCCCCCACTCCTCTGAGGACTGCTGCAGGGGCTGGGCCTGCACTCACCTCGCAGTAAGTAGAGCGACCCGGCCCCAGCCTGCTCCCCTCCCCTGGCTCCCAGCCGCACCGCCGGCGAGTGCTGGGGGGCAGTTCCCCCCCTTCCCCTCAAGGCTGGGAGCCAGGGGAGCAGACCAGAGCGGGCTGGGGCTAGGGCGGTTTCCCCTCTGCACTGCCCCCATGGAGGCCTGGGGCTGTGGAGCGCACCAGAATGGCTAGGGATGGCCCTGGATCCAGGAGTTCACATTTGTTACTTGGGTTGATGAAATCTAATTATAGAACATACCAACGGTTTGGGGTGTCTATCCTGTTTTTGGCAGTCTGCCCTGAGGTAGACACTCACGGCCCTGAGCCACTCAGACAGCATGACAGCCACATCTTCCAAAAGGCAACTGTTAGAAACTGGCCTAATTTAACACTATTAATTCCTCACACACATGCAATTTCTGTATTATTTCAGCATAGGAATCATGCAGTATCTCTTTTAAGAAAAGAAGAATAGTAAACAATTTAACTCACTCTTCTTTTTTTTTGTTCACTGTTCATCTATAAAAATAAAATGAAAATATAACAAAAATAAGTCATATATCAAAGTAAGAGTGTAAACAATGATAAGCCAAATCAGAAAACTAATACATTAATATAAATCTTGATTCTCAATCTGAACAAATATTATTGCTACTCAAGGGCTCTACCCTACAAACATGTATGCATCTATATATTGACTTGAGTGGAACTACTCACATGGGTCAAGCTATTTATGATTTAATGCAAGATTAGGCCCTAATTTGCTAAACATTTGCAGATAAGAGACTAAATACATCATCAACAAAAATCAAAGATAACGTGATCAAAATTAAACATTACAGCTAAAAGGAATTAAAAACTCACAGTAGAAGGTAGTTCTGGCTCAGGAAGTGTGGGAACTCTCTGATACTTTTCTTCCATGGTTGCTTTATAATCTTTTAAAGCCCGGTCAATTCTGAAGTATAGTTTATAGTTGGAAACAATGTTAAAAACTTGTACATAATATTTTAAAAATAACATAATACAGTCATTTTAAAGTGCTGCAAATTCCTTTTTCATGTGTACCAACTATTCCAACTCTGTAGAGTAAGACTCTCCAACTTGCTCTCTCTTCTCTTATATAGTGAGATACCCATATCTTGGTCACAGTCAAAAGAAAATATTGTATGTGTGTGTGTATGTGTATGTTCACATTCATTCTAAGTTGAACATGATGAGTTAAACACCAGACTGGTACCATGATTGATTTTTACTTCTACCCCTTTCTTAAAGCATCTACAGTAGGTCCCAACCAATTGTGCATTGTCAATGATTGAGTAAAGTGAGGTTCCTGAGGAAGTCTAATTGTATTTTTTAAATATGTTAAGAAGCTAAAAACATGCTCTCCTTTTTACTGCATGAATTTATAAATTGAAAAATAAATAACTAAAAAAATTAAATGGCCATTAAAAGAGTTTAGATGACTGGTGTTGGCCTGTCATGTTGACCTTAGCAATCAAAACACTGCACCCCATCCCGCTTAATGTGAGTATACTGTACATTGACAAGTGAACATATGTATACAGTGTTCCAGATGCATCCTCCAGTACAATTTGGGCTGCAGATCCCCCAAGTGACAATAAGTCTATGGGGCTACACTCTCAGAATTTCAGTCTGCCAAGGAACTGAGAACCAGGAAAGGCCAGGCTGGTTAAGACATGCACTACTCTCCTCCCCCACAGTTTTCAAAGAAAACCCTCTTGAAGAAGGTCGCAGCAGTACAGCCATCATCCTTTCCTAGAGGTGAATCCCTCCTGCAGTGCAGCTAAATTTGTAAGATCACTCTATAACCTATCTCCATGAGGGTGAACCTGGCACAGTGAGTTTGCTAGCGGTACGGGAGACATGTCCTATTAGAACAATAGTCAATCACTATTAGACTCATTGGCAATAAGTTTGACATTAAAATTGCGTTTTAATATTCCCACCTAATGTATTCTTTATTTGATTAATGTTGCATCGGACTGTATTCAACATCAAGAGTGGATTTTTCTTAATTCTCATGTATAGGTATCACATTACAATTGGCCATCTAGTTTACAAATTAAAAATCAAAATAGCAATAACATATTTGATTACAGTTAGCAAGCCCATTCTTAACATACATAACAGAACAAGATCATTTTAGAGACTACAGGTTTATTCCTAACATTTCATGTCTTCCACATTTTAAATTTAAAATATTTTATTTGACATTTATAAGTGTATCTATCAAAATTTCTAAATATACATAAAATATTTTAAAAAAATAATCACAATTTAGAAGAGACCATTTACAAAAAAATCACACTTCATCTGAAAATTATTCATCTATTATTGCTCAAGATTATTTAAAATTGAAAAAGATGAAAGAGGAAAAACTGATTGTTGTCCATTTTTCAGTTTCTTTACTTTAAGTATTTGACAGCTGTTTTACTGTTTCCTTGTGTGGGGCTTTCACAAATCAATAAGGGAAAATCATTTTACAAAGTTGAAAAATGTGATTATAAAATCCACAAACATTGGCAAGGGGACTCAGGGACAGGTGTAGTACCTGAAACTATTTTGAATTTCTTTTTAAAACTGACTACGTTTCAGCTTTATAGTGTCCCTTTCAACAAATCAGAGGTATCATCTTCTCTTTCTCAACAGTACATTTATGATTAACAAGAATGGAATTAATGCTATTTTAAAGCTATTCACACAGTGTACAGTCTAAGACAGGGATGGGCAAACCTTTTGGCCTGAGGGCCACATCTGTGTATGGAAATTGTATGGTGGGCCATGAATGCTCATGAAATTGGGGGTTGGGGTGCAGGAGGGGGTGAGGGCTTCGGCTGCGGGTGCGGGCTTGGGGGTGGGGCTGGGAATGAGGGGTTGGGAGTGCAGGAGGGTGCTCCGGGCTGGGACCAAGAGGTTCTGAGGGTGGGAAGGGGTTGGGGTACAGGAGGGGGTCACGGGTGCAGGCTCCAGGTGGCTCTTACCTCAAGCACCTCCCAGAAGCAGCGGCATGTCCCCCATCCGGCTCCTACGCGGAGGCGTGGCCAGGCATGGCCAATGGGAGCTGCGGGGGCAGGGGCAGCGTGCAGAGCCCTTTGGCTGCCCCTATGCATAGGAGCCAGAGGAGGGACATGCCACGTTTCTGGGAGCCATGCAGAGTGGGGCAAGCCCCCAACCCCACTCCTCAGCTGAAGTGCCAGAGCAGGGCAAACCCTGGACCCCGCTCATGGGTGGGAGGATAAAAACGTCTGGAGGGCTGGATGCAGCCCCTGGGCCATAGTTTGCCCACCCCTGGTCTAAGGATAGGTATCAGTATTTAAGCAGAACTCCCCACTGATGGCATGATTATGACTATGAAATTATCTTGTAACATAGCTTCAAATAATGTATCTTAGGCCAACAATGACACTAATGTGAGGATCATAACTGACGTTATTCAAGAAGAATTAATTTAACAAGACAATTTAATATCAGACTTCAAGAGAACCTTCTCAGCCTATCAGAATGCATGTCAGCAGTCATTTTATTGTATAATAAATTACCAATGTGACATAGTTAACATTCTGAGCATTCCAAGGGGCCTCACTCTGCCACCACAGATATTAGTGGAAGATTAGGATTTGGCTTCAGATGTTAAGAACTAAAAATGCAGCGGTTTAATTTTGTATTTGTTAAGCTTGTATTGAGATAGACTGAAAGACATCCAGGGCAAGGTACCTTGCTTTCTGCTTGTAAGGCACCATGTAAATATATGACTTTGTATAACTGATTTTTATTGCTATTAATAAAAATACCATTGCTTCTCTTTTCCTCAGTATTAATCCAATTCCCTTGTGCTAAACTATTCTTAGGCCTTGATCCTGCAATCTGCCCTTACACTTGCAATCTGGCATTCAGCTCCACTGAAGGCAATAGGACTCTGAACGAATGCAGGAATTCCCCCTGCATGGGCCAGACTGCAAAATCCAGGCCTTATTTTATCTATTTTGGAATCAAATTACTTCCAAAGAAAATGGGGGGAGGGGAAATATATTTCTTAACTATAGTTTGTGTAAAAATAAAAATGTTTCAAAGTGTGAACATGTACGCGCATGCAGTGCACAAAATTACCTCATGACTCATACTTTTAAGAGAGATACATTAGCGTTATCCATGCAACTGAGTACTGTCACCACATTTCACCAACATGGCTCCAATCCTACAAAGACTTACACAGTGCTTAAGTTTAAATATGTTAGTAATACCATTGACATCAATGAGACTCACATGCTAAATTAAGCATATGCTAAAGCCTTTGCTAGACTGGGGCCTTAGTCTCCATTCAATCATCTTGAGGCCGTGATGTATTTTGTCTATGCTTCTTAACCCTATAGACCTAGGTTAGATTGCTTTCTTTGCACCGCTTTATCTTTGATCAAGCAAGCAAACACGCACGCTTTCAATGCCAACACTACTCCCAGGGTAACCTGATAGGTGTATTCTTAGCCCACATAATCCTTGCATTTATACCAACAGGGCAATCATACATCCTTAAGAAGTTGCAGAAAAAGAAATGCAGTAATTTAAAAGATAGTGCAATTAATAATTTTCAAATAAAACTTAGCAATAGATTTCCATGTTAATTTGGTTACCACTCAGACCTACAAAAATTACATGAATTACTCCTTCTAATGTCTTTGTAAATGCTTGTTCATACACAGGACTTGTAAAGAATTATTTGTGTATAATATTAATGTATATCAATCTATGAATAGGGTTCTGTGTCTGTCACGGAGGTTGCGGAAGTCACGGATTCCATGACTTTCTGTGACCTTTATGACTTCTACAGCAGCCAGTGTGGCTGACCCCAGGGCCAGCTGCTCAGGTAGCACTGAGGCCAGTCACACCAGCCACTGCTGGAGTGGCCCCGGGCCAGCCACACCAGCCACTGTTCAGGCAGCCCTGAGCAGCGGCCGGAGCGGCTGGCCCCGGGGACCACCCGAGTAGTGATCCTTGGGGCGGCCAGAGTAGCCACTGCTTGGCAGCCCCCGGCAGCAGTCCCGGAGCAGCTATAGCAGCCACTGTCGGCAGCCCCTGGTGGCCATAGCAGCTGCTGTTGAGGGCCCCCGTCAGCGGTCCCCGGGTGGTCGGAGCAGCTGCTATCGGCGGCCCCCGGCAGGGGTCCCTGGGTGGCCGGAGCAGCTGCTGTCGACAGCCCCCAGCAGCGGTCCTGGAATGGCTGGAGCAGCAGAGGTTAGCAGTACCTGGCAGCGGTCATGGGGCACCGGAGCAGCTGCCAGTCGGCAGTGGACCCCGGCAGCTAGTGCTGTGGACCCCGCCCCACCTCAGCAACACCCTCCCTAGCAGCGACCCTTTTGCCCAAGATTTAGTCTGGGATATTTATAGTGTAAGTAATGGACAGGTCACAGGCAGTGAATTTTTGTTTATTGCCCATGACTGCCCATGACTTTTATTAAAAATACCTGTGACTAAATCATTGCCTTATCTATGAATCACCACAACACTCCTCTGGGACAATGCAAATCACTAAGCCCAGAACGAAGCATGCCAGAGCTGGGACCAGAGTTTTCTCTCTTGCGGGGACTCAGCTACAGAACAATCTTCTAGAGGAGTTCAGGCTAATCCAGAGTCTGGCCATCTTTAGTTAACAGTGCAAAACCTTCTTTTTTGAGAAAATCTTTCCATCATAACTGACACTCATTCCCAACCCTTCCACTCCACAAAGAAAACCCCTCAAGCTACCCCAAACAGAATTTTGACCCTATAAAGTGTCAGAGAGACTCCATGAAGCCCATTAGGGACCTCGCTATTGATTTTACATGGAAGACACTTTGATGGTAATGAGTACCATCATCATAAAACTCTAAGAAAGAAAAAAAGATTATTAAAACCTCTCAGCTGCCTAGGAATACAGTGACCCTTTAATCTGAACGTAACTTATTGGCTGAATTATACAAAACTCACACTATCTGATTAAGCGTCTTTTGCTGTTCCTTGAATCTTCGGTATTTCAATAGTTTATTGTGTGATGCTGAGACACCAGCTGTCGATGACGTAGGTAAAACTATAGGTGGCAAGCGATTGTTCAAAGTCTCTTTATCAGTGGGTGGTGTCAATTTATTTGACAACGACATCTAAATGCATAATAAAACAAGAAAAATTTAATAGATTACTATATTAAATTGTACTTGCATGAGAAATAGAATGGGTTAGTCACAATAATTTCCACAATCTAGACACCAAAGCAACACAGGCTTCTACAATGGAAACATAGGCGCCGACTCTGTGGGTGCTCCAAGGCTGATCAGATGATCAGATGTATCAGATCTGATGAAGTGAGCTGTAGCTCACGAAAGCTCATGCTCAAATAAATTGGTTAGTCTCTAAGGTGCTACAAGTACTCCTTTTCTTTTAGCAAACATTTAGTGTAACTAAATTACCCATCAAAGAAATCTTGTGAAATGCTAATGAAGAACATAAGGACTTAAACAGAAAATGCTAATTTCAAAGCAAATGATCATTGTGTGTGATGATCCAGGGCAAAGACTCTGAATGCATTCCTCACTATCAGTCATCGAAGAAAAAGCCCATGTGGGTACAAAGAAAAGGAGTACTTGTGGCACCTTAGAGACTAACCAATTTATACAGTATAAAAGAGCAATAAATATGAATTCATTAAAAGATCCTTCATCTCTGGACTGTAAGGATTCTAACAGAGCAGAAAAACTGAACAAGAAGACAGAGATCCCCAGAGTTAATGTGAGTAGCCCAGGAAAAGACTTTTGGAAAACTAGCAGTTTATTACATCACTGCCACCATTTGGAGTTACAAACTGTGATTTACCTGTAATTATATTTTACCTGCTTTAATCTCTCATTCTTTTTTCTTAGCTAACAAACCTATAGTTAGTTTGCTACAGAATTGGCTGCCAGTGTTGTCTTTGGTGTAAGATCTGGAGTACCAGTTGATTTGGGGTGAGTGACTGGTCTTTTGGGACTGGGAGAAACCTGATATGGTGTGATTTTAGGTTTAAGTAATCTTTTATCACAAAGTTCAGTTTGTCTGGGTGACACAATAGAGTGGAAAGTCTAAGGGGACTGTCTGTGACGCCATGGTAAGACATGGTAATCTGTTAGTCTCTAAGGTGCCACAAGTCCTCCTTTTCTTTTTGTGGAGACAGACTAACACGGCTGCTCCTCTGAAACATGGTAAGACTGGTATAGTGACCCAGGAGTTCACATTTGTTTCTGGCTTGGTGAAATCTAATAATAGAATATACCACCAGTTTGGGGTGTCTGCCCTTGTTTTCGGACAGTCTGTCCTGAATAGATAGGCATTCACAATTGTGAGCCACTCCAGACAGCATGCCAGGTAGAGGGCTGAGAAATTAACAAACTCTCTTCTCTTTGCTCAGACAGAGGCTAGTGCATTAACTCCTCTCAGCTCTTTCCCCATCACCCACCCTCTCACCCATACCAAACTTCAGCTTTGCCTAACCTTCACAATTGGCAGACTGGAAGCAGTGTTTTGCAAGATTTCAATTTCCTACAAAAATCCATAAAGAAACTGAAGATATTCAGGTATCATCTTTAATTTACACTGTGGGGAAGCAGGCACAGTAGATCTTTAAATCCTTTGACTTTATTGAAGACGGTCACAAAGATGACTATGAAAAGGTTCTGGCTATGTAGCGGATAAATATAAAATTAAACAATTAAAGTTAGCTTAATTTTGGTTAAGGAAACATATATGTGTTGTAAAGAAAGGCCCTGACTAGCAAGTGAAAGGAATAATAGTAAGTGATAAGGCCAGAAGAAATAAAATAATTCAAAAAATAATTAATGAGATAATGGGAAGTTTCTAAAAAGAGGCCTCTGACCAACAGGGATGACTGCAGATGGTTTTCAGTAAGACAAAAAGAGTCTCTACTAAAAGGAGCCAACACAGAGATGGCACAGCCTTCCCAAAAGTGGGGGGGCCAAGGCCCTCACCTCTCCCCTTCTGCCAGAGGCCCCGCCCCTTCTGCCTCAGGCCCTGCCCGCAGCTAAGCTATAAGCTGGAGTGGGCCATAAGCCATGGACCCTTCACCTGCCCAGGATGGGGGGCCGAGAGCAGCTCCCAGCCCATATCCCCGCCCCATAGGCCCACCGCCCAGGGCAGGTGAAGGGTTTGTGGCTCCCCACAGCTACTCGTGTGGCTCTCTCCTACCCAGCTCCAGCCAGGTGACGGGATCTCAGAGCTGCAGCCCAACCATGGTACGAGCTGCATGGCCAGGCAGCTGTGAGGAGCTGCGGACCCTCCATCTGCCCTGGGCGGGGGGGTCAGGACAAAGGTCAGGGCCTGCTCTCACGCGACGGGGGGAGGGGTGAAGGGATCATCCCAGAGAATAGCCACGTGGTGGGGTGGGGAGAGGTGTGCGCTGTACATCCACCCAAAAACCGCAGCCCCTCCTTTTAAACGGCAAACCCAACTGGCCTTGCTTGCTATGGGAAAGGATGGCGCTGCAGTTTGAAACCATTCCCACATGTTATGAAGGCATAAGAAGCCAACCCCACGTACCAAAAGGCTTACCATGGCTGCCTGGAAACCGAATTCTGTTGCCCAGCCGTTTGTGATGTGTCACCATACCGGCAGGCGCTCAATATAAAAGGCAAAATGTGACGTTGTACCTAAAGCACATGTGCTGTCTGCTGTGAATTTGCTTGATTCACTGTGAAAGAGTCTCCCTTTTGTTCTCAGAAATATATCATCTTAAATTGTACTGTCCCTTTTTATCTCCCCCCAGGTGCAAACGTTTCTATGCTCCCCCTATCATCTTGATCCCTGAGGTTATTGCAGATCAGAAGATGAAAAAAATGCACTCGCAATGACATGTTTTCTGAGCTCACGCAGTCCTCCCGTACTGATAGGGCACAGCTTAATGCATGGAGGCATTCAGTGGCAGAGGCCAGGAAAGCATTAAGTGAGCGTGAAGAGCAGAGGCAGGAGGAAATGCTGAGGCTAATGGGGGAACAAATGGACATGATGAAGCATCTGTTGGAGCTGCAGGAAAGCCAACAAGACCACAGACCCCTGCTGCATCCATTGTATAACTGTCTGCCCTCCTCCCCAAGTTCCATAGCCTCCTCACCCAGATGCCCAAGAACGCGGGGAGGGAGGCTCCGGGCACCCAGCCATTCCACTCCAGAGTATGGCCTAAGCAACAGAAGGCTGTCATTCAAAAAGTTTTGATTGGTAGCAATGTGGTCTTGTCCTTCCCTCCTCCCGCACCCCACCCCACCTGGGCTACCTTGTCAGTGATCTCACTTTTTTTTTAATTAATAAAGAAATAATGCATGGTTTCAAAACAATAGTTACATTATTTCCTTTGCCAGCTGTGATCGAAGTGTGGAGGGCGGTTGGCTTACAGAGAATTAAAATCAACAAAGGGGGCGGGTTTGCAGCAAGGAGAAACACATACAACTGTCACACCATAGCCTGGCCAGTCATGAAACTGGTTTTCAAAGCCTCTCTGATGCGCAGTGTGCCTAGCTGTGCTCTTCTAATCGCCCTGGTGTCTGGCTGCTCAAAATCGGCCGCCAGGCGATTTGCCTCAACCTCCCACCCCGCCATAAACATCTCCCCCTTAGTCTCACAGATATTATGGAGCACACAGCAAGCAGCAATTACAATAGGAATGTTGGTTGCGCTGAGGTCTAACCTAGTCAGCAACAGCGCCAGTGAGCTTTTAAACGTCCAAAGGCACATTCTACCACCATTCTGCACTTGCTCAGCCTACAGTTTAACTGCTCCTTACTACTGTCCAGGTTGCCTGTGTACAGCTTCATGAGCCATGGGAGCAAGGGGTAGGCTGGGTCCCCAAGGAAACTATTGGCACTTCAACATCCCCAACAGTAATTTTCTGGTCTGGGAAGTAAGTCCCTTCTTGCAACTGCTCGAACAGCCCGAAGTTCCTAAAGATGCAAGCATCATGCACCTTTCCCAGCCATCCCACGTTGAGGTCGGTGAAATGTCCCTTGTGATCAACCAGTGCTTGCAGCATCATTGAGAAGTACCCCTTGCAGTTTACGTACTGGTTGGCAAGGTGGTCCAGTGCCAAGATAGGGATATGCGTTCCGTCTATCGCCCCACCACAGTTAGGGAACCCCATTGCAGCAAAGCCATCCACTATGTCTGCACATTTCCCAGAGTCACTACCCTTGACAGCAGAACGTCAGTGACTGCACTGGCTACTTGGATCACAGCAGTCCCCACAGTAGACTTGCCCACTCCAAATTGATTCCCGACTGACCAGTAGCAGTCAGGCGTTGCAAGCTTCCACAGGGTTATTGCCACTCGCTACTCAACTATCAGGGCAGATCTCATCTTGGTATTCCTGTGCTGCAGGCGGGGGAAAGCAACTCACAAAGTTCCATGAAAGTGGCCTTACGCATATGAAAGTTTCGCAGCCACTAGGAATCATCCCATACTTGCAACACTATGCGGTCCCACCAGTCTGTGCTTGTTTGCTGGAGCCAGAATTGGTGTTCCACTGTATCAACTAGCCCCACTGCCGCCACGATGTCCCAATTGCCACAGCCTGTGCTTTCAGGAACGCCTGTGTCCATGTCCTCAACACAATCGTCCTTGGGCTGGTGTCTCTTAACCCGATTTTGCACATACTCCAGGATAATGCAAGAGGTGTTTACAATGCTCACAACAGCAGCAGTGAGCTGAGCAGGCTGCATGCTTGCTGTGGTATGGCATCTGCATGGGTAACCCAGGAAAAAAGGCGCAAAATGATTGTCTGCCGTTGCTTTCACGGAGGGAGGGAGAGAGGGAGGGGCGATTAACGACATGTACTCAAAACCACCCATGACAATGTTTTTGCCCCATCAGGCATTGGGAGCTTAACCCAGAATTCCAATGGGCAGCGGAAACTGCGGGAACTGTGGGATAGCTACCCACAGTGCACCGCTCCGTAAGTCGATGCTAGCCACGGTATTGAGGACACACTCTGCCGCCTAAATACGCTTATTGGGGACATACACAATGACTGTATAAAATAAATTTCTAAAAATCGACTTCTATAAAATTGACCTAATTTTGTAATATAGACATACCCAAAGGATGTGAAAGTGGCTCTCTAGGGAGAGGAAATTAAGACACAGGAGGTCCTAGAGATAAACCCTGGTGAAAGCCAAACTCAGGGACATAGACTAGACTGAGGCTTATGTTGTAAAACACAAAAGCCAAGCCACAGGATGGTGATGGGTGTGTTCGGATAGTAACTCAAGGCCCAAGTATTCTAATGAAGATAGGAAAGAGACAAAAGCTATGGAGGGGAGAAGAAATAACTAATGACATGAATGCAGGATTACATTTTCATTGCAAGATCAAGCAGTAAAAGAAGCTAGACTATAATGGAGCAGGTTCTTTGGCTAACACAAATTCAGGCTTAAAAGCAGAACTGGAAATGCACAAAGCTACCATTAAAGCACATTTATATAAAACCAACATCGCCTATTCCCCCTCTCATGTTTCCCCCAGATAAAAGTCTGTAACACTCCTTGCCCCCTGCCACCGGGAAGGCAGCACGGCCCTCTCGCTGCTGCCCCAGCACCAGGCCCTGGGGAGGGCAGGTCAGCCTGTAACAGCCCCTCACCCGCTCCCTGCCGCGGGGAGGGCGGCACAGCAAAGGAAGGAGGGGGTGATCCCTGTCCCCCTCCCTCCTCACCTCGCTCCGCTGCCCGGGACCCAGAAGGGGCAGGGGGCTCGTTGTCCCGACAGAGGCAAACGGGACCAGAGCGGGCCTGGGCGGTGGCTGCGGCGGCAGCGCGTTGCTCCTCCGAAGGCTGCGCTACCCGTCAGGGTCAACAACGCGGTTGCCATGGCGACAAGTGCAGGGCCGTTCCCTCAGCGGCGGCCCGAGAGGAGAGAGCGAGCGGCCCCGCCCCCTTCAGTCAGCAGGGGGTCGCGTCGTGCTTGTTATCTCAGCCGGCGGGGGCGGTGAGGGGAGAGGCAACGAGGAACGCCGGGGGGACCGGAATCAGACATGCACAGAGGAGGGGTCCAAGTTGTTCTGCCAACACCAGCTGTGACTTTGTTTGCTAAACAAGTGTATATAGAGAATGTGCCAGCTCCGTGCAAATTATTGGGCTTCAGCAGCTTCTTCCACCCCCAAGTTTGCAGCTACTTCATTGGATCCCATGCCTGCAAAGCCCCTTTATACCTAAAGATTCTTAAAGAAGCCTCATCTAGAGAGAGAACAACCTGTGTACAGCCTTCTGTGCTCTTCTCATGTCACTGTTGTTGGGACTCTGGGGGATATACTTCCACCTCTGTGTCCTACATACAGAATACTGTTATTTTATGTAATTCAGTTGATTTCACAACATATTCAACTCTGTTCAGACAAATAAGTTTCAATGCACTCAGACTGGAGTATATAGTAGAGAAGTGCACAAACCACTAATGATTAAACTGCCATAGAGAATGTACCTTCTCCATACATGTGTAAATGTATTAATTAATCATTAAGAACCAAAATATTAGATATCTGGGTCCCAAGATATTAGGAGTCTGCAAATGATTTTCACACACTCCTGATCTCATTTATAGGATATGGGCTTTAACAGTATTTAAACAGTTTAATTTTAGGACCTGATCTTGCAAATATTTATGCATGCAAGCCCTATTCCTGCAATGACTGAATGACTGGATCCCTAAAGCTAACACAGGTGCTAGGGGTGAGGTTTCACTTAATGCTGCATCAGGATTTTATATGGGTATTGAGAGTTTTTTCAGCTTTGCATTACAGTATATTACTACTAACTCTAATAAAATACATAATCAGCTTTATTTTTATTCAGACAAGAAGGATGATCCAGTCACTACGGTGCTAACCTGGGACTTAGAAAAGCTAAGTTCAGTTTCCTGCTGTGCTACAATCCTATTGCATGACCATGGTCAAACCACTTAAACCTGGTTTACATTTAAGGATTCTGCCAGAATACGTTGGTTAGAAGCATAAAAAAAAGCACAGCTTTAACCAAAATAGCTATGTCAGCAAAAGCCCTAGAGTAGATTCAGTGGCAAAAAAAGTCCTTATTTTACTTAGGAAATTGGTAAAAGTTATACAGGCAAACCCTATCTACTGTAGGCAAGGCATAAGTCTCTGTCCCAGACTCTCAACATTATTTAGTCACCTAACTCCCATTGACCAATGGGAATTAGGTACCTAAATATCTTTGAGGATCTGTGCCTCAGTTTTCTATCAATACAATAGGGATAACAGTACTTTCCTATCTCACTGGATCATTGTGAGAATAAATTCATCAAAAAAGAAAGATTGTGGGGTTGCTGTATAACTACAACAGATACGACTCCTGTATTTAATTTTACTGGGGAAGTTAGCAGTAACAAAATCAAAAACTAGACCTTTGATCTAGGGAAGTGATGAGACTTACCAAGGCCCCACTATGATAACAATAGTAATATCTAGGTCCTACAGTGCTTTTCATTATTAGATCTCAAAGCACTTTACCAAGGAGCTCAGGATCATTCCCTCTTATTTTACAAATAGGTAAACTAAGGCACAGATAACTGAAATGACTTACCCAAGGTCTTCTTGACCTTCCAATGCCTCTTTGTGAGCAGACTTTAATGATCACACAGAGGCAGCTACAGGACTGAGGTCTTAGTCGTAATTATGAATAGCTAAATTCAACATTACAACTGACTGACACTTTTCTAAAATGGCTCTTTTTACAGATATCACATCTTTAAGTGATTGAACTGTTCTATTTTTATCTTTCTTTCAATAAACATGAAACATTCTGAACCAGATAAGTAGAAAATAAATCCAAACCTCAGGCATCAATAACATGTACGGTGTGTTATGCTAAAGAATGCTTTACAGCTGCTACTCTGAAACTTATAAAAGTGGGGAGAGTGGGGTGGGGGGAGAGAAAACCCTTTGTAGTGATAAACACACATTTTTTCATGGTTTATGTGTATAAAAACATCTTTTGTATTTTCCACAGTATGCATCCAATGAAGTGAACTGTAGCTCATGAAAGCTTATGCTCAAATAAATTGGTTAGTCTCTAAGGTGCCACAAGTACTCCTTTTCTTTTTGCAAATACAGACTAACACAGATGTTACTCTGAAACTTATAAAAGTCTGAATTTTTTCAGGAGACAAGTCTTCCTCTTTTCACATCTCACTAATTTGGGAGAGTGAATCCCTTCTTGGGGGCTCATTTTAGGAAGTGTTTAAAGGATCTCCTCCTGGGGGTGCAGAATTTTGCTGTTAATATCAGAGATACTTAGTGTTTCGTTTATCTACTTCACCCAAACTGTCCCAGCTGCTTAGCCCTGGAAAAAGGGACTGAAGAGAACTGATTATAGGCATGGCCCCCACTAAGGCCTGACATCTCAGGGGAGGGAGAAGGGGTAACTCCCTAGAGACCTGCAAAGGACACAGATTATTTTCTCCAAGGAAACCACTTAGATAAAGCTCCGAGAGCTACAAAGGGGCGCCCATGACCCCAGGCTGCCTGCTCCCACCCGACCTCCAGCCGCGGTACGCGCTCGGCAGGATCAGCACTAGATGCTTCTCACTTCCCCCGAGCTTTTCTACCTCTTTCTACAGGAAGTAAATAGTCAGCACTTCCGGCTTATGCCCACGACTACCTCCAAAGACAAATGCATATCCCACGGTTGGGCCTTCCCTTTCGTCATTTCCGGTATATGACTACCCCAGTACCCATCAGCACTTGCGACGCGCCGCTCAGCTCGTCTCCTTTTGCCCCAGCGCGGGTTTCCAGGCAATTGCAAGCGAATGTGCTGTCACCAATGTGAGGCTGTCTTGGCGCGCGCTGCCCGGAGCCGGAACGCAGCGGCGGCCGATGAATGGTGGATGCCGGGCGGGCTGGTTCATGTGGAGCCTTCTGTGGGGGGAGCTACGAGCCGCTGCCGGCCCGACGAGGCTCCGCTGCCGATCGGCCGCTTTCCTTAGCCGCGGCGGCGGCGCGGTTCCCCCCGGCCCTGCCTGCGGAGACCCGCCTGGCCACATGGAGCGGGCTGTCGTGCGCTGCGTCCCGTCGGAGCCTAAGATGAGCCTGTGGTTCGTGCTGTGTGACGGGAGCGCCAAGCACATGCAGCGGGACCAGACGGAGCCGCTAGGCCGGGCGTTGGCCCGCATCGCCACCAACGCCGGCAAGGGCCACGCCAAGGCGGCCAAGAAGAGCAAGAAAGCGCGGGCGGAGGCGGGCCCGGCCGGGGAGCCGGTGCCGACGGCGCCGCTCGCCGTGCGCCTCTTCTCGCGGGACGGGGAGTCCGTGGCTGAAGACGTGTCCAATGCCGAGGCCTGGCAGGACGGCGCCGTGCTGCAGATCGGCGAAGTCAAGTACCAGGTGGAGCGGAACCCGCCGTCAGTCATCGAGCTCCAGCTGCCTCGCTCGCTGCTCGCCGGCTTCCCCGTCTGCCCCAAGATCCACACCGAATTCGGCGCGCCCCAGCACTGTCTCTTCCGCTGGTACCGGGAGCAGCCAGGGGGCGGCGGGGACGAGCCCTCCCCGGGGAGCGACATCTGGGTAGAAGCCCCGGTCCGGGACCGCGTCTTCACGCCGACCAACGCGCACATCGGACTGCGCCTCAAGCTTCACTGCACCCCGGGCAACAGCCAGCAGCGCTACGGGCTCCCCCGGGAGGTGGAAAGCAGCGGCCCCGTGGAGGCCGGGCCCGGCGCCTGTACCTTCGACTCCCGGCACCTCTACACCAAGAAGGTGTCCGGGGAAGGCTTAATCCGCACCGTCTCCTACAACGTTCTGGCCGACATCTATGCTCAGACCGAGCACTCGCGGACCGTGCTCTACCCCTACTGCGCGCCCTACGCGCTGGAGCTCGACTACCGGCAGAACCTGCTCAAGAAGGAGCTGGCCGGCTACAGCGCCGATCTCATCTGCTTGCAGGAGGTGGACAAGTCCGTCTTCGCCGATAGCTTGGCCCCGGCGCTGGACGCTTTCGGCCTCGAGGGGCTCTTCAGGATCAAGGAGAAGCAGCATGAAGGCTTGGCCACTTTCTACCGCAGGGATAAGTTCAGCCTGCTTAGCGAGCACGATATCGCCTTCAATGAGGCCCTGGTCTCCGACCCACTACACAAGGAGCTGCGGGACAAGCTAGCCCCCTACCGCTTAGCCCAGGAGAAGGTGCTGCAGAGATCTTCTGTGCTGCAGGTACCAGCCGTTTGTACAGCAGCTCTGCCCCACAAATTGGTGTGTCCAACCCCCAGGAAATCAGGCTGCAGAGCCAGTGGGAGGCACTGTCACTGTTTAGGAGGAGGTTCACTATAGAACTACTGGTAGAAGGAAAAAGAAGGGACAGAGCAGTAATAGAGTAAAAGGTTCTCAGGCAGGCAGAGTTGTGATTGTGAGTAGGGTAGGAACCATACGCTATGTCTACACTACAGCTGGGGTCCATGTTCTGTGATGGATCCACGGGTGGTTGATTTAGCGGGTCTACTGAAGACCCGCCAAATTGATAGCAGATCGTTCTCCAGTCGACCCCTGTACTCGACGCCCAAGGAGAAGAGTAAGGTACGTCAACGGGAGAGTTTCCCCCATTGACCCCCCCGCGGTAACTCAGCCTAAGGTACGTCGACTTCAGCTACGTTATTCACGTAGCTGGAGTTGCCTAGCATAGGTCGACTTACCGTGGTAGTGTAGATATAGCCATAGAGTCTGTCTATGCTGGAGCAAGCCCTTGTCTACACTAGAGGGGAAATTCAATCTAAGCTAGGCAGTTTGTGTTACGTGAATAGCGTACCTCAAATCAATGTAGCTTAGATCTTACTTACCGCGGTGACCACACTACATGATGTCGACAGGAGATGCTCTCCCATTGACTCCCCCTACTCTTCTCGAGTAAATCAACTGCCGATGCATCAGTCGCTGCACGTGGATCCCCCGGTAAGTGTAAGACAAGCCCTAGGTTATGGAGGGTTTTGAGAATCAGGCAGAATGTCACACTGCTTAATGTGTAAAACAAGGAAATGTGTTTTGATAGGTGGTAGTGTCAGAGTCTTTGCCATTCACCCAACTGGGTACACGGGGCCAGTGTCGGCTCTCTTCCCCTGATTTCTGCCCTTTAGAATGTGGGCTTGATTAAAAATGATCCTGCCAGTTTTAAATGATGTATTCATTTTCTTTGGTTTCTTTCTGTCTTCAAACCATTTTAAAGTGAATTCTTAAGAGTGATATAACAAAACATTGGAGTGTGTCAGATCTTCTAAAGTATCAGATCTGATTTTAGTTTAGAAAATATTTTTATTCTAAATTTTAATAAACTTTGGAGGCATTGGTTATCTGATTTTGAAACACTGTAGACATACAAGTGGGGTGTGCATGTGAGATAGTGACTGCACTGTTTGTGACATTAAGAAAATTAAGGCCCCAATCCTGCAAATATTTATGCACGTGCTTAACTTTTCATGTTTGTAGACCCATTGACTACTCTCATAATTAAAGTTAAGCATCCACATAAGTGTTTGCAGGATCACAGCCCAGGTCAGAAATCCCAGTAACTGACATGGAGTCTTGTGGCAGTGACAAATATAATCTCATTTACAAGGCTTGAAAAATCTACTTACCCCAAGGGCCAGTGTGAGTACAAACTTTTCCTGGTGCCTGATAACTAACTTTTTTTTAAACAAAAGTTTTAGATTGCTAACTTCCCAACTAGTGGCTTCCTCAGTGCAGAGAAACAACTCAAGTGTTGTTGCTGCAGAGGGGGTGGAAGAATGGAGAAGGAAAAAACTTGGGAAAAGCTCCACCAAGATCTTTTACAAGAAAGAGAGTGAAATGCAGAAGAAAAAGTATAGCAAAAGCAGGAGACTTGACAGACAGGGCTGGTTAAAATAGTATTTGGCAAATACATTAATTTCGCTGGAATTTGTCAAATGACTTATTTTAGAAACACTTGTTTTACTAGTTCTAGAACTGACAAAGTACTATAATTGTCACAGGTCATGGCTTTTTGTGGGGGAGAAATTTTATAATGGTATGTGTAGTTAGTGTACATGGGCTATTTCCTGTCAGGTACACTGTTTTTCAAAAACTGTTTATTGCTTATAATATTTGACTTTAACATTCAAAATAATGTGTAGAAAGAGATGTATAAAAATATGAATTGTATTGTCACCAAGGTACAAGTTGATTAATCACTAATAATTCATAATTCTACATAGGCTCTTTGAGGCCTGTAAAGCATTTTCTGATTTAACATTTTGTAAAAGAGTGCTGTTTCGTGCAGGTTTCAGTTCTTCAGTCTACGAATGATCCTTCAAGGAAGATTTGTATAGCTAATACTCATCTATACTGGCATCCAAAAGGTAACTTTACTGATGTTATATATGTCTATATTATTAGCTAGATTTAGTAGCATTTTTCCTACACAACTAGAATTTGCATTTCACACTTTTCTGAATGGAAGGATTTCTCCCTACTTCTTACAATTCCTCATTTTTCCTTATGGAGATGAGGATTTCCTTAGTTCATTCCTTCTCATAATGGGATCTTTAACTGCTGCACCAACTGGATTGGAGGATTATGTTATATCGTGATAGAGTGTAGTCTTGCTTGTTTAGGAATGTTCAGAATATAGCTAAAGCAAAAATTATTGTATTCCACATTCCACCCCCAATCTGTAATTTGCTAATATAGATGGGTTTACAGAGTGTGACTCCCTCTGTACTCAATGTAACTGATGTTGTGGTATTGACAGCAGAGGGAGCAAATTGGGCCCCTCAAACCACGTCTCCCTTCTAGGCGCAAGAACTAGGAGGGGAGATTACTTCCTGTTTCTTGGTGTTCCTAAAGCAGAGGTGGGCAAACTACAGCCCGCGGGCCACATCCTGCCCCTGGGACTGTCATGCCCGGCCCCTGAACTCCTGGCCCCTCCCCTGCTGTTCCCCCACCCCCACAGCCTCAGCTCGCTGCGCCAGCAGCACTCTGGGTGGTAGGGCTGTGAGCTCCTGCTGGGTAGCATTGCAGTGTGGCTCGCTGCAGCCAGGCGATACAACTGCCAGTCATGCTGCTCTGAGTGTCATGGTAAGGGAGCAGGGAGCGGGGGGGGTTGGGTAAGGGGCAGAAGGTCCCGGGGGACAGACAGGGAACAGGGAGTTGTTGGATAAGGCCTGGGGTTCTGGGGAGGCAGTTAGGGATGGGGGTTCCTGGGAGGGGGCGGTCAGCAGACAAGAAGCAGGGGGGTTGGATGGCGGGGATTCTGAGGGGGGCAGGAAGTGGGGGGGTGGATGGAGGAGGGGCAGGCTGTTTGCGGAAGCACAGCCTTCCCTACTTGGTCCTCCATACAATTTTGCAACCCTGATGTGGTCCTCGGGCCAAAAAGTTTGCCCACCCCTGTCCTAAAGGATGTAGGGGCAGAAAAAAGCCACTGAGATGGTGGGGTGAAGCCAGTGCCCTATTAGGCCAGGGATTAACTGAGCAAGGGTGAAAAAGGCCCCTGCTCAATCCTTAGCAAAGAAGGTATTTGGTTTCTCTAGATTCACTCTTACTTGGGAGGGAAAATTGCAGGGGTATGTTTTTAAAGGTGCACAGTCCCTATAATCATGCACCGAAGTTGAAGCCTTGCTAACAGTTTTAAAATGTATATTGCTGCAAACTATCAGTCAGCAGTGGTTTATAAAACTCATTTGAAACTACTGAATAAATAGAATACTTAATTAACATGCTTTTATGTTCGTAGGTGGAAACATCCGTCTCATCCAAATTGCTGTAGCTTTGTCTCATATTAGGCATGTTACATGTGATCTGTATCCTGGCATACCTGTCATATTCTGCGGTGATTTTAATAGTACACCTTCAACTGGAATGTATAGGTTTATCAACAGTGGCAGTGTTGCTGAGGATCATGAAGACTGGGTCTCTAATGGAGAAGAAGAAAGATGCAATATGTCTCTAACTCATCCTTTCAAACTGCAAAGTGCTTGTGGAGAACCTGCTTATACAAATTATGTTGGTGGGTTTCATGGATGCCTGGACTACATATTCATTGACATAAATGCTTTAGAGGTTGAACAAGTAATTCCATTGCCAAGTCATGAAGAAGTTACCACCCATCAGGCCTTGCCAAGTGTGTCTCATCCCTCAGATCATATAGCATTAATATGTGATTTAAAGTGGAAATAAGACTAACATTTGCATGGCATTTGTTCCGGGCCTTTAAAGAAGGAATTTGTTTACTTTAAGGGAACTTACCTTGTATCCCGGCTTGTATGTACCTTTATAAAGAAGGAAGCTAAACTGATTATTGGAAAAAAGTTCACATGCCTGTCATTTTGATTATAAATTTCTTACTGAGCGTTTTGTCTGATTGTTCATAACATTTGCATGACATAGCTTCCCCTTTCCCTTTTTCTACACTAATAGGAAGTCCAAATATATTTAAGAAAGATGAGGATGTTTTAAAAAAAGAAAAGTTAGATTATCATACCTTTTTATAGGTGTTTTTAACTGATTAAGAGATTATTTTGTTACAGATGTATGAATCTAATCTGATTTCTATAAAAGTACACATGAACTGAACCCTGTTTGTATAATTCAGAATAGGATAAAAAAGAGGGTAAGCAAATGAGTTGTGTTGAATCAAATCAATTAAAACTACTTTCAATGCAGGACAAATGTCACCTCCTTCTTTTTAAATACTCAAAAATATAAATTTATTCACTTAGCATTCCTGATGCTTCTCTAGGCTTTAGCAAGCTGCATGTTCAGTGTACTACTCCTTTTTTTGACAAGATACTTTCTAACCAGATACCAACATCTGAATAGATTTGTACAATCAACATAAAACCATATTAAATTTTAGGATTAAAATGGTTTAAGAACCATTTTCCTTGCCCACTTAATGTATTTGTAGCCACTGAAAGGCTCTTCTTGACCTTTAAAAGAAATGGAAAAAAAACAGATTTAAAGACCAGTTGTCGATTATTGTAAACCAGTATCAAGTTTACTAAAAATAAAAATATGTAAGACCTGTATTTACTTTTGAGTATTGATTCCTACTGTTACCTATATCTAGCATTAGAAAACATACTAAAAGTTTTAGGTCAGTTTCCTAATACAGTTTGGGTGGGAAGGAGCTTTTTAAATTTATCTTGTCAGTTTTTGATTTGCAGGGAAGCATTAGTTGCTTCTGGAGAACAATTCCGTCCTGGTCTGGGGGGAGGGGAAGAAAATAACACTTCACATAAGTAATATGTATCTAATTATTTGGGTGCAAATGCTTAAAGGTGACTTGCAAAGATTTTTAAAAGTTGGATTTGCTCGATTTTTTTTTTCCATCATAAAGAAGGCCTGAAAGCTTTCTTAACTTAAACATTTTTTTTTTTGCTTACACTTTCATTTTAGCAATAACAAGTCTAGTCTTTCATGGTTATGTTGGGGAATATTTGGGATGTCTAAGGATGTACATTATACATAATATATTATATATTATGTACATTATATCCATACCTTACTGGAAATAATATTTAATTATTTAAACACCCACTACCCAGGGCTTCCTTTCTCCAAAATGTTGGTCATGGAAACTGAAGAGGTTCTGCAAACAAAAGATTTATAGAGTTTTACTAATGCTTCTTGTTTTAGTTGATAACTTTCCCTCAACTCCTGATATTATTGTCCTCATTTGACTAGTTTTCTGGTTATTAGTGCCTTCCAGGACAAAACAAGCTCTGAATGTCTAATGCTGAAAAATCAAGAAGAATTCTCACCCCTATACATTATAAAAAGGCACATATGCAGATAGGAACACTAGAAATGCATTAGAACATTGTGGCTTCCTCATAATGCAAAAGTTAAACTGAATATTTAAAATGAAAAAAGTTGCTAAACTGAAAACTGTGGGGATGCACAGACTTAGGACATAAAAAAAACCTTACCTAACTCTGCTCCTGTTGCTTGACCCAAGGAACAACCAAACAGTGCAAACTAACCTGACACTCAGACAAGGTCCATACATGTACCTCATAGTAATAAATACAGTGGTAGCATTTTCATAGTACTATACATGTTGATATGGGCAATTGTTCCATGGTGTTTTTAAAAATGTGATATGTAAGCCTCCTATGAGCTGAACCCTTAATTATGTGACAGTTGGTACCAGTCAAACAAGTATGGGGGTCTAAGTATTGCCACTCTCCTTGGCACCTCATGGGCTATAGAGCCTCCTCACAGGGTAGGTGGCTGCTGCTAGGCAAGGATAGAGACTGAAACTGTTAACCTTTATGGTGGGAGAGTAGAAAGAACAGGCCAGGAGGGGAACTTCTTTCTCTTACCAAGAGAAATGGGAGGAAAGTCCTATGGCACAAGGTCCAAGCACATGCACTGTTTCCTCTCCCTGGACTCTCTATTGGAATGGAGCCTTCCCCCTTGTGACTGGTGCTGGCTATGGGAGTAGAGACAGACACTGCTGCTGCTGGAACAGCCAACAGATAACTTTTACTTTCCAGCCCTCAGAGCCTTTTGAGCTCTTCCATTGAGGGGAAGAGAGATGATTCTTAGAAGGGAGTGGGTGGAGCAGGCCTAAGCTGAGGGGCTGGAGTTCACTGCTGACAGACACCTATTGGTGGGAGGATGGTGGGGAAATGTGGATTAAGAGGGTTGCTGACCATGGAAAATTAACACTAACTGTACAACTGGTGTGAATTACCGTGGGATGTTACTATAACTTGTTACCTGCTGCTCTCAATTTGTTTTCATTTGGTGCATTTTGTGTTTAGACTGTAAGCTCTTGAATAGGGAGTGTTTGTGAAGCTTTTGGGTGCTCAAAAATAAATGATGAAAAATCATTTTGAATCAGACTAATGTACATATGTAAAAACATGCTGTAAGTACATGTTTATACCACCCTGCTTACTAACTATGTATCCATTGCATCTTGCATGTAAGATATTTTGATTAAAGTTGTTTTCTGATAAGGCCTTTGAGTCTTAAATCATGTATTTCACCTGTGGTGGTGAAGAACTCTGGGGCAGAAGACTTTTTATTCTTGTACGTAATTGTCTAGGGTAATTCTCTTTCTGATAGCCTATATTCCAGTGTGGCCTATACTTTTGTGGTTCAAAATCATATAGCCAATTCACCATCATTTACACGTACAAACTGTAGCATCACTGTACTCTATCTCCCTGCTGTTTGTACCTTTTGAAAGCAAGCTATCCAGTACAGATGCCGATGTGTGTGGGGGAGGGAGCTCTCAGACTTAATAGAGTTGTGAACTCACCAGCTCTGGTAACTAGTGTCATGAAAAAATATTTATGTATTTCTAACTCGTAGAGCCATTGCCACATGGTCTGTCAGCTCTGCTGTCTACCAGCAAGCAGCCTTCCATGGTCATGGACCAAAGTTAGATAAGTTCTGAAGTAAAGTAATTGCAATATGTGGATGCTCGTGCTTGCTTTGGGAAAAAGTAATGCTGAATGAAACACTTGATTGTGAATAGAGTTATTGAGAGTAAGATATTTTATGTTGGTTTCACAAAGTTCTGTACAGCCATTCAGCAACTTTATCAGGATTACACTGTGGGACATGGGATAAGGCGCTTAAAACTTTTTATGCCTCAGTTTTCATATCTACAAAATTTAGCTAATATATCCCAATTACGGTAAAACACTTGGAAGGCCTCCAAAGGGGATAAAGAAGTGCAATGTGTGCTCTGTTACAGAGTAGACAGTGGCTGGATTTCAGAATGCCTATAAGTATATTTAAATAGCTAGAGTAGCAAGGGAGGAAGGAAATGTTGATTGACTCTCCCCCTGGCTTCAGAAGCAACTAAGGCAGCTGTTTTGCCTTTAAAAATTATGAGCAATGCTTAGGAATAGCATAACACCTCTTCATGGCAACGGTGCAAGCTTGCACTAGATACATCCACCACAGCCTGTAATGAAGTACTTCCTCACTCTCTTGCTTTTCAAATATCTGTGGTTGTACCAATGGGCTTGTCTGTGATGATATAATTGGTCTCTTTGGAAAGGGTGATCCCCTGAGACTTGATGCAAGCAACATGGCGGCACAACCCAGCATGTCCAGTAAGGCTATGAGTAGTGAGAATGTTGAGGGGAGGATACATAGCCAGGGGGAAGGCCCAGATAGGATAAGCCCTTTCTTCCTGACTCTACTGTGTTACCTAAGGGTGAGGAGGGATGAAGGTACAGAGGCTACCTCTCTAATCTGGTATATTGGTGACTACATGGCTGGGGGTTTGGATATCACCACCCTCAATCCCTCACAGAGAGGGGACTCTAGTATCAGGGCAGTGATAACAGTTGGCTCCAGCTATGGTTTTGGTGCCAAAAGGGGGGGGGGAGGGGGAGTAAGACAGAGGAAATCAATAACAATGTGGAAAGTAGATGGGGCTGTGATCACAGAGACCCTGGGTGCCAATGGTTCAGGTTCCAAGGCATTTGGGCCCAGGCTCAGTGAGGAAGGGCCAGGCCTAAGATTACTGTAGTCTGCCAAATTAGAGGGCAGCACCTGTGCAGACTTGGAAGTTAGTACCAGAGTCTCCTCAGGTTTATGGCCCTTGTATGAATGAACCTGAGATTAATCATGAGGCTAGTGACCCTTCAGTGTCAGCTTATCAGTTACTGGGGACAGGAACCTGCCTAGCAGATGTCTGGGCTAATGATGAATAATAGGTCCACAAAGCGGACAGAACCTGGGAGGGTGGCATAGAATCACAGCTCTGGGGAGAATTAATAGGTCTAACTGAGGCTAGGTTGTAGCCTCCCTCCCAGTGGCTGAAGCAGCCTGCATTGGTCTCTCTAGAAGGAACCACTTCAGGGAGGTGGCTTTCACACTGTATTCTTGGAGAACGAGTGACAGACAGAACATTGCTCCAAGACGTTCTTCTCTACAACAGAGCAAGCACCCGGGATGCCTATCCTTAAGGGACCTCAAACCTTCACCAAAAAAAGGAGAGATACAGTCATACAGAAGGCCTGCTGGGGTTGTGTGTCACACCCATCCTGCCTTAACCTAGCCCCACAGGCAAAGATTACCCCTATGGGTAAGGGATTACAGAGTAAGATTTTAGGCTTCACACACACACCCCGTTATACTATTCCCCTCATTTACTTTTACAGAAACACACACGTTTGACAAAAAAATTGTATTGCTAATAATTTAACTTAAAACTAGGACAAACAACAAAGTATTTACAATGGAATTGTACACAGCATAGAGCCGTTCACAATTTAATACCAACCACTTTTTCTGTCTGCAAATCATTCAGGAACCGCTGCCAGATACTGATCAAACAGTTTACGTGAACAAGTTTTGCTGATGGGTTGCTCATGAACTGTTCGCTTCAACTAGCCCCTATTTGTGATAGGGGAGTTGACTCAGGTTTCTGCCCTGTATTTAAATGGATTACTAGAATATTTTGAAAAAGGCAAATAATGAATTACAGATCCGTATGAATGGCCATAGCTAAATGCCATTATGTGAAGCATAATTATTCCCCCAAGATTCAGGCAAATAAAAACCCATCCATTTTTTGCAAACCTTCATATGACTCATAAAGGGAACAAAGTAAAACAGATGATCTGTTCAGAATTCAACCATATATTTTTTTCAATATTTGGCCATCTTGGCTATAGAATATTCCTAATCTTCTGGTATATACAAATATAAAATATTCTGCATGAAGTTATGTTAAAAGATTTTTAGGTCAATGCCAATTTGTTCATTATATTGCACTGAGCTCCACATTCAACAAAGAGTAAAAATCCACCTTTGGGAACTCAGGATTTCTTATTATAGCAGTCAGAGCACTAGCCATCTTCATTAGTCTTTTGTGTCCAGTTCAGAGAGTTAGTTTCCAAAACACAATCTCAGTTTGAACGGACTTTGGAGTTGGAAATGACTTATTAGATTAGTGCGTTGGTCCCTCTTTCAGTTTAAAATCATCTGACTTGCATGGAAAGCGTGCGTGAGCAATGACTGCATGGCTAGATCAGAGAGGATGCATCAGATATAAACTACTATAAAAAGCTACAGTGCCTTTTAATCATAGGATTAGAAGGGACCCCTATAGGTCATCTGGTCCACACCCCTGCACTGAGGTATTATTTTTACTTCAGTGAAGACCAAGTATTCTCTAGACCATCTGTGGTAACTGTTTGTCTAACCTTTTTCTTAAAAGCCTCCAGTGATGGGCATTCTACTGCCTCCCAAGGTAATCCGTTCAAGTGCTTAACTATCCTTTCACTTAGGTTAGACATTAGGAAAAAACTTCCTAACTTTCCCTTATTGAAATTTAAGCCCATTAATTTTTTCTCATCCACTGAGGACAGGAATAGTATCATCACTCTCTTCTTTATAAAAAGAAAAGGAGTACTTGGGGCACCTTAGAGACAAACAGATTTGTTTGTCTCTAAGGTGCCACAAATATTCCTGTTCTTTTTGTGGATACAGACTAACACAGCTGCTATTCTGAAACCTCTCTTCTTTATAAGAACCTTTTACGTAGTTGAAGGCTTATGGCCCCATTCACTCTTCTCCAGCCTAAACAACCCCTTCCCCCTGCCCCTCAAAAAAAAATAAAAAAAAATAAAAATCTTTCCTCAGACATTTTTAGACCTTCAATCATTTTTTATTGCTCTCCTTTCACTTTTCTCCAATTTGCGCACATCCTTCCTAAAGTATGTGCCCAGAACTGGACACAATATTCCAGTTAGTAAAATAGTTCTTTGGGTTTGGCTAAGAATAAAAGGGGATAAGGACATGTTTTAACTATTTATATGGCCCTCAGCATTGTGTCTCAGTGCCTTCGCTATAGAAAGGCATTTATACATATTTGCAGTGTTCTAGGAAACGTGCTAATAGTGAGGCAGTACATGGAGCATTCCAACAGTGGCTCAGAAGGAGGCCTCTTGAGGATGACTAAGGCCCCACGAGGGAGCGAGATGTCTTAACTATACCTTAAACATGAAGAAGGCCCTTAAGGAATGTATACACTGTTGGGAAAGAAAAGATTGAAGGTGAATGTACCAGAGCATAGACATGCCATAGGTGAATCCTGAAAGAAGCAAACGGCAGTGCTACTGGTTTCATGAACTGTAACTAGTTTAGGATCTTTGGCACCTCTACTGGATCCAAATTATTTTAAATAAAAATCTTTTCCACTCTGAGTAAGTCTTCCTGTTTTGTATGAGAATCCTCTGAAACTGTAGGGAACAGTCTGTCAGATCAGCCAACATCCAGTCAGATGTCTGGATGCAGGATCTGACTTTGGTTCCGAGACAGTACATCTGGCAGCTGTAAGGGAGGTCAGATGTCCACAGCAGGTCTGGTAGCTAAAACTGTCTTGGCCAGTAAGGAGCTATCGTGTTGACCATAGCTTTATCCTTCCTGGCCTTGGAAACTATCCTGGTGACCAAGGGAAACCGTTGACAGGCAGAGGAATCCTCAAGACCATTAAAGAAATGGTGTCCGGCAACAAGCACAGGCTCATGCCTCCACTGCAAGTTTGGGTACTTGGTGTTGTCTACTGTGGCGAACAAGTGTCTTTTAATCAAATCCTGGAAGACTTAAAAACTCATCCATGGAAGCCATGGATGGGGGAATCAAACCACTTCATCTGGTGAGGATGATGAGATGGCAGGAAGCGGTTGTTCTGATGAGCGATAGCATCCATTGTATTCCTCCTCACCCTCCACAAGTTGAGGTTAGGGCAGGTGAAGAACCTGGAAGTTTTTCCTCCAGAGAAGGAAATTAGCATCATTTACAATTTTTAGAGCAAGTTTCCTAGAATATGGTCTTGCTCTACTGACCAAGGCCAGACTGGACTCACTGGAGAGACAGTGAGGAGAATACATAGTGAATACCAGGGTGGGGTCTATCCTGTGGGTTTCTGACGATTTTCTGGTACCCAACAGGGATTTTTCCCTCAACTCTCAATCAGACTCCACTGTAC